GGTCTTCAAGATCATGAAAGGTTTCGACAGACGAGAGAGGGAAAAGCTGTTTCCGCTGGTAGGTGTGTCTGTGATTCGTGGTCACAGTCTTAAGATATCTACCAAAAGGAGCAGAGGGGAGGTTAGAAGAAATTTTTTTTTTCACTCAACGAGTTGATCTGCCTGAAAGGGCAGTGAAGTCCGATTCGATAACAGCTTTTAAGAGAGAACTGGACAGGTATCTGGGGAAGGCGGGTTTGCAGTGTTATGGGGAGAAAGCTGGTGATTGGGGTTAGTGAAAGTGACGCTCTGTCAAAGAGCCGCACAGACTCGATCGGCCGAATGGTCTCCTTCTGTGTCGTAACATTCTATGAATCTATGAATTGTTGGCCAGGTCACTGGGAGAAACTCTTTTCTTTTCAAATAGTGCCATGGGATTTTTAACATCCACCTAAACAGGCAGACGGACCTTGTCTTATCTGAAGGTCATCTCTGACAACACAGCGCAACCCCCATCACTATATGGGAGTGGCAGTCTGGACTAGTTCCCCCTGTTCTGGGAGGATTTTCTTAATGATTTTCTTCGGATTTAGCACCAATAGTAACCACATACAATCTTCTCTGGAGGGTTTCTAAAGTGTTTTGACTTCCAAAGAACCAGGTTAATCAAGGAAACTTGCCCAACATTTCGCCCTGTCAGGAATTAAACCCACGTCTCTTGCTTGCGAGGCAAGTGCTCTAACCACTGACCTACAGGACTGCAAAAATACAAAATTATTTTGTAAGGTTACACAAATGCGCATACTACGCAAGGTTTACACATGTTTGGTATTGTTTCCCTGTTCTGTGACCCGGGGACATTATTTAGCTCTATCTCTGTTAAATAAACTTATAGCTGATTGTGGAGTCCTGTAGCTCAGTGGTTAGAGCACTCGCTTTGCAAGTGAGAGACCTGAGTTCAATTTCCGGCAGAGGGCCAAACCTTGGGCAAGTTTCCTTACTCCACACAGAGCCTAATAATAATACCTCCAAAACAAAACAATAATAAATTGGTCATTTTCAATCTACGACTGTTTGTGGGACATTGCTGTGCGCAATTGGCTGCTGCGTTCGCCCACAAATATACAGTCAATTCACTTTACAGTGTGTTCTGTGAAGCGCTTTGGGACGTCCTCCCGACGTGAAAAGCGCTATATCAAATGCAAGGATTATTATTATTATTATTCTTTAGCCTCTTGCCTGGGTCTCTATAGTAATGGTGAGTTGCTGAAGGGGGACAGACTGTCACTGTGCTCCTGAGCTGGGGTTGTTAGGATCTGGGGAAGGTTTTGGCAGCAAGGAGACTGCATCACAAAAGAGAGGGCGAAGGCCAAAGGAGACGTCTGTGTACATAGATTTGTTTAGTGAGTTTCAGTGGAGCCTTTACAGTTACAGGGATTAGGTGCTGTTGACGAGCAGAGCAGTTTCTATCCTCTCAAGCCTCAAGATCATTTCACATAATGTGCTTTTGGTCGGCAGCCGGGTGTCTGACATATTCAGAAACCGATCACCAAGACTATCCAAACCAAGCTGAGAATTCCATGCATTCCACCCACACATGGAAATCCCAGAGGTGCCTTGTTGGAATGGAATCCCTCTCTCTCCCTGCGTGGACACATCCTGCTTACCGCATTTTGGAAAATATTAGGTTGACAAGAGCCAAGATTTGGGGACCCCAGAGTGTGTGTTGGGGAAACTGCTGGAGTCTAACCAACTAAAACTGCACAGTTTGCCATTGATATCGCTGTCTGGCATACTTTCCCATTTCTTGTTCAGCCAGGACCACTCTACCCATTAGGGCTTTGGCTCGTAGGGCTAACAGGAGCTGAGTGGGATGATTCCTTGCCCTTAGCGTGACACATAATGTCCAGTATATCCAGATACGCACAATTCTCTATCCCAGTACATACATTTCCCACAGCATCACACCCTCAACTGTCTTTCTACCCCACATTTGTGCCATGACCCACTCTGTCTTCCGCACCTTCGCAACATTGCCCGGCTCCGTGACTGCCTCACCCCTGAGGCCACCGAGACAGGCTCCTGGATCACATCCAGGCTCAATTTTGCTAACTCCCTGCTTGTTGGTCTTCCCAACTCTTCCCTCCATAGGCTGCAGATCATCCAGACCTCTGCATCCCGTGTCCTCTTCCACACCAGGCTCCATGACCCCATCACTCCCATCTCCACCAGCTCCACTGGTGCGAAGAGAAGTTTACAATCCTCTTCTTCGCTTTCGAAGCTCTCCATGGCCTTGCCCCTCCTGACCTCTGTGAACTGTTAATGTCTGCTCCATCCATTCAGCAGGCTCAAGCCTGCTCCACATCCCCCGTCCGGCCCGCCCCACCATCAGCGGTCGGGCCTTCAGCCACTCTACTCCCACCCTCTGGAATCCATCCCACAGTCCCTTCGCCTCTCCCGCTCCCTCCTTGGGATGTCCTCCCGACGTGAAAGTGTAAATGTAGGGGAGCAGAAACAAGTGGCATTGAGAGAGTTTGAAGGTTTGAGGGTAGAGTCATGTAGCTTAATGGTTAGAGTACTCGCCTCGCAAGTGAGAGACCTGGGATTGATTCCCGGCAGGGCGAAACGTTGAGCAAGTTTCCTTACGTCTCTGTTTATCTAGCAGTAAGTAGGAACTCGGTTGTTAGTTGATTGGCGGATCGCTTTTCTAGGGGATTAATAGAAAAATTCCTTTTTTTAAAAAAATGTTCATTCAATGCACGACTGTTTGTGGTACGCTGCTGTGCACAATTGGTTGCCATGTTTCATCCACAAAATATACAGTTAATTCACTTTATGGTATATTCTGTGAAGCGCTTTAAGACATCTCAACGTCATGAAAAGGGGCTATATCAAATACAAGGATTATTATTATTATTATATAAATGCACACACACCTAGAGCACACAGTACATGGTACACAGAGCAACATCATTCCCCAAACCCTCCTCTCTTTTACCAAAAAAACAGCCTTTGGTAACACCCAGACAGCCCCAGGCTCCAGTCTGATCTCTCCCGCAGCCTGTCTGCAAGGTTTCTGTCTGAAGCTGTTTCTCTTTCTCTTCCTTATCTGCGCTGCCTCATATTTTCCATGTTTAGCAAACAGTTGGGGCATCTTATCACTTTCATTGTAGATACTGTGATTTACAACAGCCCCACTTTGGCCACAACAGGCGCCAGGTATCTATGTACTTTTTCTTGGGTTTTTCCCCTGTTTCCAGTAAATCAACTTTGAACAAATATGAAACCAGCAGCTTGTAAAATAATAGCAACAAATCACTGGCTCCCAGGTATCATATCAGCCCCATCACCCTCTGTAACTATAGACTCCAGGGCTGTGTCTGATCAAGGTGTGCGTGTGTGGGGGTGGGGGAAGGAGAGAGGGTTGTGTCAGAATTGGTGGAGCAGGGGAGAAAGGGCATTGTGTCTGATCCTAAACCCTACTTCCTGATCCTGATAATAATATTAATAATAATTTGCAACTACCCAGCATTTTTCACACAATACCAAACATATCACAGCGCTTTAGAAAATATAATTGACCAGAAATAAGGGAAATGCTATTGGCTCATCTGCCCCAGAAACATCTGATCAACAAGGATTATTATTTTTATAAACAACAAGCGAGCAGCAGATTTATTTGAATTTAGGGTAAAGGATTGTTCATCTGGATGTCTGACACGTTTGGAAACCCATCACCTGCTTAAAAGTTTCCAAACCAAGCTGAGAATTCCAGGCATCTCACCTACACATGGAAATCCCAGAGAAACATTGTTGGAATGGAATGCGCTCTCTCTCTCTCTCCCCCTGGAGGGATGCAGCCGGCTTACCTAACTCTCAAATGGCTTGCAGGAATAACAGGAGCTGAGTAGGATGACTCCCTGCCCCAAGTGACTGGTCTGCTGATGTCATGCCTGCCTGGCTCAGGAACCGGACCACCGAGACCACCACAGATTCCGACATTCCATTGCCAAGCATGCCAAGCTTGGGCCACTGACTGGCAAGCTTTCCAGCTAGGATCACCCTAGCCGTTAGGACTTTGGCTTGCATGGTTAACAGGAGCTGAGTAGGATATGAACCAGGAAAGACTCCATGTTTTTTAAGTACAGCGAGAGACAAGGGCAGAATGGACAACCCAGTAAGAGGCCCTCACACTGACAGCAGTGAGAGGGTATATTGGTGAGACATTTCTACTCCTCCTCGCGATGTGGAAAAAACTTATTGCCAACACATCATTCTCTCACTCACCGTAACTAAAAAACAGCCACCTCTCACGCCCAGGCCGACCAAGCGAGAGCTGCCACCCTGCAGGAAATGGTTGCAATGATTATCGTGCTCAGCTCACAAGCGAGAGGACCTGGGTTCGATCCCTGGGCAGGGCAAAACCTTAGTCAAGTTCCTTATTCCACATGTCTCTGTTTATATAGCAATAAGTAGGAACCCAATAGCAACAACAGCTTGCATTGTATAACACCCCTCACGCGGGGTAGCAACCCCAGTTGTTAGTCAATTGGCGGATAGATTTCTGGGGGTAATAATACCCTCAAAAAATAATAATTTGATCACTCAATCCACGACTGTTTGTGGGACGATGCTGTGCGCAATTGGCTGCCACGTTTCGCCCTCAATCTACACAGTCAATTCACTTTACAGTATATTCAGTGAAGCGCTTTGAGACGTCTCAACAATGTAATAAATTAGATGCAAGGATTATTATTATAATAACACAAATCTGCCGAGTCACAAAAGGTTAAGTTGTTATTAAGACAGAATGTTAGTCTGCTCCACGTAGTTTGCATCAAGCAACATGTAAACAAAACTGGGAAATTTGCAATGTTGGTTTCTTACGGGAAGAGCAATACAATACTATACCTGTCACGGCACCTGATCAAAACCGGTCACCTGTTTATGAGAGGCACCTCCCAGCAACTGAGATAACACCCAGTATATTTAAGGATAAGGTTTCACCATAGTTCGGGAGATCAACCTCTGTGCAGCTGGCTGTTGCTTCAGGTATCAGCTTCCTACAGTCAGACAGTGGCAGTTCATTTTGGCTTCTTGAGACAGGTAATTTCTGCCCATTATTTATTTGCTCAGGTGTGAAATGACACACACGCCTGGTTTCTTCTACCAATATTGTGATTTATTTCACGATCTCTGTATTTTTCCTGAGGTTTTATGAATCAAGATATTGTGGGACACTGCTGTGCGCAATTGGCTGCTGCGTTTAGCCCACAAAATACAATCAATCCACTTTGCAGTGTATTCTGTCACACATTTTAATGACATGATAAGGTGCTATCTCAAATGCAAGGCTTATCATTAATAACCACCTGTATATTTGGTCAGCTCTCTTTGCTTCTGGGTCAGCAAGTCATGAGTTTATGCTCCACTTTGGTACATAGTCCAGGCTGACGTTCCACTGAAGTGTTGGTGGGAACATTTCACTGGGAGAAATGCCGTCCTTCAGATGAGGTGTTAAACTGAGTTGCTGTCTGCCTTTTCTGGTGGGTGTTAAGGGTAGCTATGGTGATTTCCCCATAGTACCATCTGGCAAACTTTCTACCACTTGTGCAGCTAGGACCGCCCTAGCTATTAGGGTTTATCAAATGGGAAGAATCTCAGGCTTTAGTGACTGGGGACTTTCTTGTGTGTGGCACATTGCAAGCGGAGATCAACTGCTGACTTTTGCACATAACAGTCACTACACTTCAATGTAACTCATTACCTTAAGCGATTTAGATGTTTGGATATGGTAAGGTGTCAAATGCATGTACATGTTAAAGTAAGGAATAATTATCAGTAGCTTCTCTGTGGTCTGAATCTGTCAAATGTAATGAATGTTTAAGGACAAGCAATCCATCTACTTGTGCAACCTTTTTGGGAGTGTCGGACGATTTATTTTATTTTGTAAAAATGTCAGTTGTCTCATTAACATATAACAAGAGGGCGTGGTAGCAAGCATCTGTGTCACACAATCTGACTGCTTCAATTTGCTCAGTTCGGAAAGAAACGGTTGACAGAGTCATTTTCAACTTTGTCTCCTGATCTTACGCCTTCTGTCAGCTGCTTCTGAGTAGAGTAAAAAGGGAGTTTTTTTCACACGTTGCTGGCGAGGCTAGCAATAGTGAGGGCGGCTTCTGGTAATTTCCTTCACCGTATGTTACCCTAAAAATAGAAGCACTGCATTGACCATATTTCCTACTCAAAAGCTGCAACCATTAGCAAAGCAAAGGACTCATAATACTCACAGCAACAATGGTGTGAGCTGGCTTCACTTTAAAGCACTCCCACTGGGTCAGAAGCTGCTGAGTTCAAGTCATACTTTGGGATATAGTTCGTGCTTTAGCTGTGCAGGATTCAGGAACATTATCAGAGGTTCTGACCTCCATGTGAGATGTTAAACTGAGGGCCCACATATCATCCATGAAGTGAATGACCAACTTTTTCTGGTGGATTGCTGGCTTGTTGACATGAAAATATGAGTCATTATGATGATCATTGACGTGATTTGAAGCAGCTGCCTCCTCAAACCAGATCACCAGGTTGCAAAGTTATCACAAACAAGGAAATGGATTTTAAAGGAAACAAACATATTGAATTCAATATGGGTGACAATAACCTGGCTCCATTGGTAGCAGTCGCCTCTGAGTCAGAAGGCTGGAGGTTCAACCTGCACATTGGGACTTTGCGGTCACAGTTACTGGCTGCTAACCTGTGACCTACTAACGCCATATCAACCTATCTGCTCCCTCCACTCCATTGGCAGTCGGGCGTTCAGCCTCTCTGCCACAACCTTTTGGAACTCCATCCCACAGTCCCTTCACCTCACTCCCTCCCTTGTCTCCTTCAAGGCCTGTCTCAAGAGCCTCCTCTTTGACCATTCCTTCGGCCACCCTCCTACCCTACCCTCCCTGCCATGCACCCACCTGATCCCAACCCCTTTCTTGGGTGCCAAATCTCTGATTGTCCAGCGTTTTGGGACGTCCTCCTGAATATGAAAGGAGCTTTACAAATGTAATTTGTTGTTGTTGTTGCTGCTCCAGTTTGATGCTGTGAGAAGCCTCTCACTGTCCTTTAGATGACTTAAACTTTGGTGTCTGAGGGCAGACTCCAGGGCTGTGTGTCTGCAGATGTTAGCGATCCCGTACAACTGTTTGAAAAGCTGAGAGTTTCTCCTGGTGTCCTGGGCAGCAATCCTCCAGACAAATACCTTCACCGTATGTTACCCTAAAAATAGAAGCACTGCATTGACCATATTTCCTACTCAAAAGCTGCAACCATTAGCAAAGCAAAGGACTCATAATACTCACAGCAATAATGGTGTGTGCAAATTCACTGCTGTTCTTGTCTACAAATACACAGTTTAACTGATACAAGCTTTCCGATTTACATAAAACTCTCCAAAGCACTTTGACTTTTCAATAATAATAATCATTGCATTTGATATAGCACCTTATCATGTCTTTGAAATGTCCCCAAAATGGTTCACAGAATATACTGTAAAGTGAATTAACTGTATATTTTGTGGCAAAAGGACAATGAGGCAAAATGCCATGTCAAATGTAATAATAATAATAATCCTTGCATTTGATATAGCGCTTTTCACGTCGGGAGGACGTCCCAAAGCGCTTCACAGAACACACTGTAAAGTGAATTGACTGTATATTTGTGGGCGAACGCGGCAGCCAATTGCGCACAGCAATGTCCCACAAACAGTCGTAGATTGAAAATGACCAATTTATTATTGTTTTTGGTTTTGGAGGATTATTATTAAGCTCTGTGTGGAGTAAGGAAACTTGCCCGAAGTTTCGCCCTCTGCCTGGAATTGAACTCAGGTCTCTCGCTTGCAAAGCGAGTGCTCTAACCACTGAGCTACAGGACTCCTAAGGATTATTAGGAAGGAAGGTTTTGGAGTCTTTTATCCCCTGACTAATATTATCCATTGTTTTTAACAGAGAGAATCAATTTCAATAAAGTAATGGAGATACAGCCTGAACGAGAATCAGGAAGAGGCCCTGAGGTCACACAAAATGGGCTGAGTATCAGGATCAGGGGCCTGGAGCCCAAGAAAGTGCTGGAAGTCTATGTGAAACGCAGCTTAAGTCTGAGGGAAGGAGACATCGCCAACCGAGAAGTCAAACGCAGGCAGACATTCCCCGTAAAGAAGTCAGAGAAGGGGACACTCAGCCCAGCAAGGGGGCAGAGCAGCACACAGGAAGAACTAACTATATCAGCCTCCAAAAACCGAGGAAGTGGAGAAGAGGCCAGCGCTGCGGTCAGTAACTGTCTGAGCTCTGAGGATGGGCCGGGGAAAGATGGGAAAAAGGGGAAGAAGCCTCAAACATTTCTGGGAAAGTTCGTAAGTTTCCTGTGGAAGAGAAGAAGTGAAGAGAGGAAAGAGGCGGGATGCAAAGGCTCAAAGGAATCCATCCCTGACGGGTGTCTCCAGGGAGGGCAGAATGGGGGCAGCAGGGAGCTGTTTGAAGGTCACAAACACATTGGCACCAGCACTGGCACTCACAAGGCAAAGATTCGCAAGAGGAGGAGCATTAGAAGAGTTTTCTCCTTTAAGAGAAGCAGCACCGAAGAGAGTAAGGGATCTACACCCAGAAATGTGACAGGGGCCAGGAAAATACCAGCTAAACCCACTCAGCTGGATTTGAGAGACGTCTACACACCCAGCAATGGGCAAACAGGTAGCAACTATATTTACAGTTGGGATAAATGTACCATAACAATCTTTGACATGATTGGAAGCTATTGTATGTGAGCATTATATTAGGGTTAGTGTTTGCTCATCCAAGGAAACCATATATCCCAATTCCCTGCTTGTTCCCCATTTGTGTCATTCAATCCCCATGATTGTCTAGTTCCCTTATCAATGCTCCCTATCCACTTTTGAACCAACGTATAATGGAAACACATTCTGTGCTAATGACACATTCTGGGAGTCATTATCACATCGCTTGAACTGTGTCCTCTCAGTGTCTGACCCACTCTGTCAGTTCCTGTTGGGACTTTTAACAATTCTAAAATTGCTCTGACACCATGAGTAATTAATAGCCTGTGCTCGCTGATTGGTCAATAATTTTTTTTAAGAAACAGGAATGCAACTCAAGTCATTTCTAACTTTTTCTGTTACAATAGAGGAAGCAGCAGAACACAATTGAGGAACAATGTTTATTTTCCCTCAAATGGCTGTTCAGTTTTGCCAGGAATAAATGAGATTATGTAACTCAGTATGTGCACCAATTGTGAGAACCAGCCCAAACCTCATCCTCTACAGGACTCCACAGGACTCTGTGGAGTCCTGTAGCTCAGTGGTTAGAGCACTCACTTTGCAATCGAGAGACCTGAGTTCAATTCCAGGCAGAGGGCCAAATCTTGGGCAAGTTTCCTTACTCCACACAGAGCCTAATAATAATCCCTCCAAAACCAAAAACAATAATAAATTGGTCATTTTCAATCCATGACTGTTTGTGGGACATTGCTGTGCGCGATTGGCTGCCGCGTTTCGCCCACAAATATACAGTCAATTCACTTTACAGTATATTCTGTGAAGCGCTTTGGGACGTCCTCCCGACGTGAAAAGCGCTATATCAAATGCAAGGATTATTATTATTATTATCCACCTGCAACCTTCATCCATCTCATAATGTAAAGTCCTTACAAGGCCCTCGCCTTGTAAGTGAGAGGATCTGAGTTCAATTAATGGGTGGGTGAAACCTTAGGCAAGTTTCCTTACTCCACACACCTCTGTTTAGGTAAACAAAGGTTAGCAGTAAGGAGGAACCTGGCTGTTAGTCGATTGGCGGATCACTTTCCAGGGGTAATTCCTTCCCCTAAAAAAAATGTGATCACTCAATCCAGGACTGTTTGTGGTACGCTGCTATAAGCAATTGGCCGTCATGTTTTGCACACAAAATACACAAATCAATCCACTTTACAGTATATTCTGTGATAGGCTTTGAGATGTCTCAATGACATGATAGAGCGCTATATTAAATGCAAGAATTATTATTATGTTCAACGTTCCCAATCTTTGTCCATCAACAATCTCCTGATGCCGAGTGAAGTGGAAGCTGAAGGTGGAAGGTTTATGTGTTTCAGATCCGAAGCCAGAGTATTTGTACGAACAGGTATCAGAAGAGATGGAACAGATCGTCCGTGCTCACGAACCTGGAGTTTTCAAGCTTAAAGGATCCCAGACCAGCAGCGCAGCAGATTCTGGTGAGTGGGGACTGGGACCTGCATGCAAAGATCAACGAAGCATCTGAAACAAACTCTTCAACTAGTAATTCACAGGAACAGAAATTTTCAGAACAGAAAAGACGCTATTCAACCCATGCCACTGTCTTTTTTTAATATCCCCTTAATAATGATAATTTGGCCACTCAATCCATGACTGTTTGTGGGACACTGCCGTGTGCAATTGGCTGCCGTGTTTTGTCCACAAAATATACAGTCACTACACTTTACAGTGTATTCTATGAAGTGCTCTGAGATGAATCGAAGACATGATAAGGTGCTGTATCAATTTTTTTATATAAATGAATCTCACTTTCCATCTTTCTCCCTCCATTTCACCGCTCAGATATTTATCCAGTTCCCTTTTTAAGCAATTCTCTTGATCCAACCTCCAAATCCACCGGGGAGAATGAACTCTAAACCGTAACAGCCCTCTGCTATTAATCAATCCATCTTGTAAAATCAATGTGATTTTCTGGGGGATTTCATGGGTTGGATTCCTGATGCAACAGTCTTGTGTCTGGATCATTCAGTAGCGCTCTCACCTGTGGGACAGAAGGCTGAAGGTTCAAGCCTTGCATCAAGACATTTAGTTTATTGTCTAGGCCAACACTCCAGTGCAATGCTGGGTAAATGCTGCATTATCAGAGGTGCCACCTATTGGCTAAGACCCTAAAGATGCCATGGCTTGTTCCAAAAAAGGGCGTCTTCTAATATACTGGCCAACAATCTTCCCAATAAATGAGTCATTCATTGAATAGCTGTTTATTGGACCTTGTTATGTGCAAAATACTTCCTTCATTGAGCGACAAATACCCAGTCATTGTATGCGACAGAAATGACTGTACAGTACTTCAAACTAAAGACTTTGTAGGGAGGAAATTTCATCCAGGTCTCAATTTACACTATTTTCATAGCATTTCAGAACATGGCAAACTCTTAAGCCTAATCTTAATTTTGAAATTAGTTTTCTGTAAGTTCTCTCCGAACCTACAGCGAAACAGTTTTAAATTTAAGACCAAAACCAACAATCTGCCAAATTTTCTACTCTCTGAAACATTGCGTAAATTTGGACTTGGGTAAATTTCTACCCCTGTAAATTCAAGTGGTGTTAACATTACCTCACCTAACGGTAAATCTTGTAAAGTGCTTTGAGATATCCTCCTGACATGACAGTCTCTATATCAAATGTAAGAATTATCATTATTATTATTTTTAATGTGTCTGATTTGCTTTCCCAGCAGACGATGAGACAATCAGGAAAATCGTTGGATTTCTCAGGAAGGAAGGCGACCGCATGGATGCAGTGGTGAGCACCGCAGACACGTGTAAAAACAAATCAAAAACATTAAGGATTGCTTAGGCTTCAAAAAGCAAATTGTCCAGCCTGGTTCAGGGTTAATATATGGCCTTTGATGCCAGAGCAAGTTTACCTGCACCTCTAAACATAGAGGACAATACAGTGCAGTCAGATTGTGTGTCCCCTTAGAAGGACTGTGCAGTCTTGTGGAGACCTGTGGCATAGTGGTTAGCGATCTCCCCTTGTAAGCAAGAGGACCCGGGTTCGATTCCTAGGTGAAGCAAAATCTTAAGCAAGTTTTCCCTACTCCTCACTCCTCTGGTTGCCTAGCTGTAAGTAGGAACCTTGTTAGTCGATTTGCGGATCACTTTCCGGGGCAATAATCCCTCCCCAAAAAAATTGGGTCACTCAATTCACAACTGTTTGTGGGACACTGCTGTGTGCAACTGGCCCACAAAATACAGTTAATCCATTTTACAATATATTCTGTGAAGCACTTTGAGACGTCTCAACGACGTGTAAGGCACTATATCAAATGCATTGGTTTAATATTATTATTATTATTACTATTCCAGAGACAGGCTCCATAGTGATTCTGACTTTAGTGTCAGTTCAGAGGCCTGAAATTCCCATTTTTTCTGTGAAAAAAACAAAGTTTCCAAATTAAGATTGAATGCAAGAATTTTCTTCAATTCTGCATAATCAAAAATTTAGGACAAAATGGGTTCCACAGATAAAACTGGCTGGAATTTTGGACTTCAAGGCAGCATTGACTTTAATATCTTCTTTAAAACTAAACTCTAATGTTCCTGAAGAGTGACTGTAGGATATGTCTATATATAGAGGGTGGTACAATTTACTGTGCCCAGAAGGCTGTAGGTGAGGAAGGAATAGTGTTTTATACAGGACAGACAGACAAACAGACTGGCACGCACGCACAATGGCATGCGCACACACAAACACACCTCACACACGCACCACACACACATATACCCACGCGCACATACACACACACACATACATACACACATACATGCACACATGCATACACACCTGCATCACCATCCAAGGATGCACACTCCACCTTACTAAGCCAGTCTTAGTAACCTTAGGCTCTTGTTTGACTCTCAACTATCCTTTCTCCCCGACGTCCATGCCGTGACCCATTCTGACTTCCCCCACCTCTGCAACATCACCCAGCTCCACCAGTGTCTCACACCACAGGCTGCCGAAACCCTCATACATGCAAACTCTTTGCTTGACGTCCTCTCCAACTCCTCCCTCCCTCCTGGCCTCATTCCCCCCTACCTCAGTGATCTCTTAACCCCCTACCAACCTGCCCACTCCCTGCCTCGCCCCCTGCCTCGCCCACCCCAACATTGGTGGGGAGGCCTTCAGCCACACAGCCCCACCCTCTGTAACTCCATCCCGCATTCCCTCCGCCTCGCCCTGTCCCTTACCTCCTTCAAGACCCATCTCAAGACCCTCCTTCAACCATGCGTTCGATCTCCCTCCTTCCCCCCCTGCCCTCCACCCTCCCCAATCCCGATCTCCAGCTTGGGTCCGAAACATTGACTGTCCAGCGCCTTGGGGTGTTCTCCCTATGTGAAAGGTACTTTACAAATGTAATTTTGGTCTTGAAGATGTGATAAGATCCTACATTAAATGCAAGGATTATTATTATCGGATACGGTAGTTTGCCTTGGGGTATCTTATTGGTGATCATCAACGAAACTTCACTTATTTCCCTCTGGTATTATCCAACAGCTAAAAGAAAATGCTGAATTTTCCACTTTCTTCAAAGAAATGAACTACGTTTCCTTCAAGCAGTTGGCTGACCAATATGTCCAAACAGAAGTGAACACAAAGACTGATCGGAATCCTGAGGTCACCAGGTTTGCTTTCACACTGGACTTAACTGCGAAGGTGGCTGGTGTCTGTGGCCATGCGGTCAACCGTATCATGGGCTACGGGACTCAGTACGTCCAGGACAGCTTCGAGAGGACCTCCAGACACTGGGTAAGTAGTGGTGGCCACGTGGTGGCCATCAGTGGCTGCGCTTTCAACTACTACACCCTGAAACTCTGGAACACTCTTCCTCTATCCCTCCGCCTTGTCCTCTCCTTCCCCATCTTCAGATCACACCTGAAAACCTTTTTCTTCGACCGTACCTACAGTCACCTCCCCCCAGCTCGGGGTCGTACTCACTGTCAAGCGCTCTGGGATGCCACCTTGCGTGAGGGGCACTATATAAATGCAAGTTGTTGTTGTATGGAGGGCTTGCTGAGGAGTGGTGTCTAAATGGAAACAAATGGATTGGGGCAAAATTGCAATATTCCTAAACACATTCAGTTTCTTGTTTAAAGAATGGTGTTACAATGTGTTTCTTAAATACCCTCTGAAATAATGGCATCACTAAAACTGTCTCGAAAGCCCTGAGCAACATCATCTCGGGATCCATTGAGCTCTGAAAATAGCCTTACTGGGCTTAGTCAGGCGATATCTGCAAATCTGCTGAGACACTACTTCAGTGAGCGAGCAGTAAACTTATGAACATGCTTCCTAGAGTGACGGTGGAAGTAGAAAGTGTTGTTTGTTTCAAGAACAAATTAGACAAATTTCTGCTAGAAAATAATATCTGGGGATAAAGTATACAGTTTGGGACACGACATTCTAGCGACTGCCAGGATGGTGCAAGATGGACTAGATGGACCTTGGTCTTCTTTCGCCAGCAAACTCTTTATGTTCTTATGTGAATCTCTCCCAATCTGTGTTAGAGCTGTACCCAGTGAATACATTCTGAGGCCATTGCTTGCATTCAACAACCAAATCCATGATATCTGGCAGAAACAGCAATGTTCACTGCTCCAGAAACATTACCTCAGGACAGTTGGTCCAACATGGGGCACGTGGGCCACCAGGGGCCTGGTGGGTGATTTCATGTGTCTCACAACCATTTCCACCAATCCAGTTCCACTGATGGACGTCCTCCCAGGGCAGCGGCAGGAGCCGGCGGTTGAAGGAACGCAGTGCGCAGAGCCGTTCGTGCAGTCTGTCAGGAAGGCAAACGCATCTCTTACCAACCGCGTCCTTAGCGACCAACCACTGGCACTGGAGATAGTGACCTGCACTTGAGATAGAGATTGGGAGAGAGAGGTAGACAGAAAGGGGGAGGAAGGAAGGAGAGAGAGGGGGTGGGGTAGGGGGCGGGAGAGAGAGTAAGGGAGAGTGTGGGAGAATGGAGAAAGTGTGAGAAGTAAGAAAGGGGGAGTGAGGGAGAGAAATTGTGAGCGGCCCACGGACCTTTTTCAAATAGGGAATCCAATCACTGCACAAATTCCTTTATGGTAAACCCAACAAGCGCTTTGAGACATCTTCCTGGTGTGAAAGGATCTTTATAATGGCAGGATTACCGTGGGTGTGCTGTGGCTGAGCTCAGAAACAATTTTATAGATAGAATGTTTTGGCTCACGGTGCTGTATGTAACTCTTTGTAATCACTTTTACCTCTATAGCAAGAAGTAGAAAATGAAATTCAAAGCCCAGACTGAAGATAGCACCTTGGATGAACAATTGAACACTGAGGTCATGGACTCAGGGATGAATTCTGCTCCACAGTGCCCAAGGACACAGCTTAGACACATCCACCTCTGGACCCATAAGCTGACACAGGAACATCCTTGTGACTGAGAAACGACTTGAAATGGTACAATGTGCTACCATCAACTTTCCATATGGACTTGACTTGACCTTACCTCATGCTTTACTGAGCCCTCACTTCATACCTCTTCTTATTCCTGTCGAGGGATGAAACCTCCAGCCTCCAGCACAATAACCTTGTGATGGACTGAGCCAGGAATGAGCCCTGGAACCCAGCCCAGCACAGGGATGGCTTTGTTCCACTGTTCAGTGTGTTTTCTCACTGGTTTCACATCTCTTCATTGTATCAGTCAAACTATATTGTCCTAGAATGTCAGTCACTATGTAGGTGGACACAGTAATTGAGCAGATCTTGTGGAAAATTGGATGTAGCAAAGGGGTGGATGGTCCAAACCTATTCCCGGCACAAAGGAAAACCCATGATTGCCGCGTGATTTGAACCGGATGTAGTCCTCAGCCTGTTGTATCCCAATGTGTGTATGGAAACTGATGGCCAATGAATGTGGGATTGAACCTCTGATAAAACATCACAGGGGATTGAGTTGTATTAATTCCCCACAGTGCGAGTCAGATGGATTCCACATTCAGAGGGCTGTCGTACAGATTTCCACTTGTGTGTTTTTCCTTTGGGTGTAGATACGTTTTAGCAGAAGTTCCTTTTGGTATTTTGCATTCATCTATTGTACATAGAGGTTATGATCAGTGTTGTATGAATATTGGACAATATTATGTTTGGTGTGAAAGGATCCTGTAGCAATGGTCAACAAGCCAAGAGGCTGAAGGAAGTGTAGAGGAATGAGAACTGGCAATGTGAGAGCCCCAAGGTGATACATGGAAGCAACTCATGTTAACCCATTCTGACCTTGCACTCGAATAGACCAGACTTTTGGGATTTACAACATTTGGGATATACAAAAACTGTGTTGAATAAGGCCAATATAGTCATTTACTGGTGTGAAAACGGAGACTGTTGTAAGATATATAGATATAGAAAATGTTTATCTTTTGAATATTTAAAATAACTTTATGAATGACTTGAAAATGTTGAAAATAGTATTAATAATCCTTGCATTTGATACAGAGCCTTATCACAGAATGTACTGTAAAGTGAATTGACTGTGGGACACAAACAGTGATGGATAATCTTAATTATAGTTTAGTTTTTGTTAGACATGATTCTCTGGGAGAGGGTGGCCCAAGATTAAGGTTTATTCTAACTTGCTGAGAAAGTAAACTTGCTGACAAAGCATCTTGCTATTTATAGTGAGACTGCGATAAAGAAAATCTCTCAGATGCTCACAAACTGTTGGTTTTCTATGAGTGGTGTGGTTTATTCCCAGCCTCTGGTTTAGAAGTTGGAAGCTGATTCAATAATAACTTTCAAAAGAGAATTGGATATTTACATGAAAAGAAAAAAAATTGCAAGGCTATAGGATAAGAGCGAGGGAGTGGGACTAATTGGCAGCTCTTTCAAAGAGCTGGCACAGGCACGATGGGCCAAATGGCCTCTTTCTGTGCTATAATATTTTATGATTCTGTAAGTGAGATCAGAGAATGCAAACTTCTAAGAATGTGGAACGGAAATACATCCAGAATCGATAGGGTTGTTTACAAGGTAGGTAGGTAGTCTTTTGAGAAATGTCAATATTAAGTGATGGGGAAAAGGCAGGGATGGGATATTAAAAGCTCTAATAAAACAGCAATCATAGCTTGATGTTTGTGGAATGTTTCTGGTGATGATTAGGCATTAGGCATGTGAAATACGTTTAGATGTTTAGTATGACCAGGGAAATAAAAGTTTAGTCATTTAATTTATTACGCTACCTCACCAATGGCAACAAGATCAGGATAAATTATTTTGACCTGCAATAGATAAATCCCCCAAATCCAGTATTCGGGTATCTTCATCACTTCAGTGTGCGCACACATTAACCTTGGTTCATTACCTAAACTGCATCTGTCACTCCATTACCCGTCTTCACAAGATTATCTGATTGGTTTGGATGAAGAAGGTCCTTTGTCCCATCGATCTTATCATCATAGAATCATAGAAACTTACAGCACAGAAGGAGATCATTCGGCCCCCGAGCCTGTGACAGCTCTTTGAAAGAGCTATCCAATTATTCCAACTCTTTCCCTAAAGGCTTGCAAAGTTTTCCCTTTCAAGTATATCTTTCCAGAATCCACAACCACAAGCTGACTACCCCCAGGTTCATTAATCTGCATCAGACACTCAATATGGAAGTGAACCCAGGCTGTGATGATAACAAGGTGTTTTAGCTGTGCACATGTGCCCAAGATTACCAAGGAGGTTATTATCCCCTACTTTGCCTGGCAGCAGCGCCAGCCGGAGTGATACAATGCAGGTAATTGCAGGGTTAGAGGAGCAAGCACTGACACTGATACAATACTATACAATGCTTTTCTACTGAGTCAAAGATTTCTATGGAGATGCACAAACACACAAACACAATTAGAGAAACAGAGAGAGAGAAAGCAAAACAGACAGACACAGTTAGAGAAACATGCACACAAACACACAATCACCTGATATCAGCCCTGCTTTCATATCTACAATCTAGATAGATAGATTTTTGTTAGGTCAGGGTATCAAGGGATATGGAGCAAAGGTGGGTAATTGGACTTGAGGTACAGATCAGCCATGATTTTATAGATTGGTGTAACAGGCTCGAAGGGCTGAATGGCCTACTCCTGTTCCTGTGATAGTCCTAAATAGTGCAGATATTGGACTCTCCAATGGGCAGAATCAGAATAAGGCATTGAATTACGACTGTAGTAATTAGCTTCCACTGGAGAGATAGCATCAACTCCATGGGGAGTGGCCTCCTGTTGTGCTGTAATCTCTATGATTATATGTGAAAGAGGGGAGGAGAAAAAGAGAAAAACACAATATGAGACAGAAGTGTTGAGAGTCCCATAGACTGAGGAAGTGACAAATCAAACAGAGAAAGAGAGAGAGAGAAAGGGAAAGATACTGAGGGGGAGAGAGAAATCTGAACTGAGCAACCACAGCCAGAAAAACAGAAAACAGAATGACACAGATAGATAGCAAGAGTGCAAATTAGTGTGAGAGAGAAATTCAGAGGTGAAGCAAGTTATAGACAGAAACAAAAACACCCACTCCACCCATGCATCCACCATCCATCCATCAACCCTTTCTTCCTCCCTCCATTCCTTCCTCACACTCTCCCTTCTTCCTACCACCCTGCCTGCCATCTCTCTGTGCATTCCTCCACACACAGAGGAAAGCTGGAATGTAATTGCATCTCAAAACCAAGGAAGCTAGGGCCTTAAACTTTCTCTTCAAAGACCCCAGAACCATGAGATGAGCAAGTGGTCTGATTTCCACACGTTTGCTAGTATACAGGCTAATTTTCAGGTTTCTCTGTAAGGAAACTGTGTTGCCCTAATAGGAACTTCTTCCAGTAGCCAGAGGTATGTCATGCCATTCCCTAGACATGCTCCTCTGGAATGCTACAGGCTTCCTTAAATTGAGTTAAGAAAGACCACAAGTTATATCTTGTGTGAGAGGCGCCAGTTGAATTTGTTAACCTACGCTTCCTGTTTCTAGTTAACTAATTTTCCACTTCCTGTTCAAAGATGACTGATTTGTGATTACCTCAGTCGCAACGTTTTTAACATCAAACATTGTTCTATTTTACTCAGAATGAGATAGATACGCTAATGGATTAATACTGAATTTAACCTGTTCAGTCAGGTTATGTTTAAAATTTAACATTTAAAATCAGAAGTAAGTCAGTGGGTTAAAGAAATACCAAATAGTAAGGAAAAAGTGGAATTGAAAGTATATCCTGTGAAGAGCTTTGTAACTCAGAGAACTGATATCTGCCCTGTTTCTAAATCTACAATAAAGATAGTCCCAATAGTGCTGATGTTTGAGTTTCTGATGGGCATAATAAAGGATTGAATTAAGACTATAGTAATGATATTATAGTAATGAGTCTAAAATAGGAATCAGGAGGTATCTCTGTGAGTTCCAGGAACTCATAGATGCTTCCTCCTCCCCCCCCTCACAAACCATTCTCTCAAGTTATCCTGAAATCTCTTTGAACAAGAATAGGATGTACTTGTCTCACAGAATAGAAATATGACACACAGACTCACTCAGAGAGACCCAGGCACATGCGTTCTTAACCATATAAAGCATAGGCATGTGTGGGTAAAAGTTTACTCTTGGTTTCTCTCTTTTTCACCTGTTTTTTGAACTTCCTATATTTAATATTAATATTAATAGTCCTTGCATTTGATATAGCGCCTTATCACTTCATGGAGATGTCTCACAGCGCTTCACAAGATATTCTGTAAAGTGGATTAACTGGATTTTATGGGCACAGCCATGTCTCACAAGCAGAGAGTAAGGAACCAATTTGTTGACCAGGACACCAGTAGAAACTTCCTTTTCTTTTTAAATAGCACCCCCGTGGAATCTTTAACATCCACCTGAACAGGCAAACGAGACCTCAGTTTAATGTCTCATCCGAAGGGCAGTTTTTCGACAATGCAACACCCCAGCACTGCATTGGAGCCTCATCTTAAACTATGTGATTCCAAGTCCCAATGTGGGGGTTTGAACCCACAACAATCTGACTCAGAGTCAAGAGTGCTACCCTCTGAGCCAGGCTGACACATACATATAGGCCATTCAACCTATCAAGCCCAGCATTTTTTATTGTGCATTTTTATGGTGTCATTAACATTATAATAATAATCTTTACATTTGATATAATGTCTTAACACATCTTTGAGATAAAGCGCTTCACAGATTAAACGGAAAAGTGATTTGATTGTATATTTTGTGGGAAAAACTTGGCAGCTAATTGCGTACAGCAGTGTCCCACAAATAGCCAAGGATTAAGTGACCAAATTATTACTTTTTTAAGGGATAATTACCCCTGGAAAAGCAATCTGCCCATTGACTAACAACCAGGTTCCTACTTACTGCTTGGTAAACAGGAGTGTGGAGTAAGGAAATTTGCCCAATGTTTCGCCCTGCCCGGGAATCGAAGCCAGCTCTTCTCAAGGTGAGTGCTCTAAACACTAAGCTACAGGACACCAACTAATGTTGAAACAACTCACAGGATTTTGCAGTAGTTTTCTGTGAGGTGAGATGTGGACTCAATGGGCTGACAAGCCAGTTTCCATCCTGTAACATTGAGTGATTCTGGAAAACGATGCAATATCACATATTGTGACATATATATGGGCCTCTCTCTCTCAGCTTCCTCCACATAAAGGAAACCAAGATCAACCACGAAAACTGAAAGCAAGACTTGTACTGACTGACGTGTGTGACAGCGCCCTTCCTCCCATTAGCCTCAATCAACAGCCTGAGCCGAGCTAAGCCACAGGACAAGAAACGGCGTCTGACACACGAGATTCGGAAAAGGATCAGGTAGGGATCAACCAGACACTGTACCACTCACTCAAGATCAGAAAAAGCATTGTAAGTGCAAAAGGCAGTGGGAATCAGTCCCACTTCTCACTTCTCACTGGCTATCTGTAGTTTGACAGACAGCCTTTCTCAGACAGAAAAATCTTATTTTCGTGAGTTGTGAACAAACAGCTTTGCCGACAAATAGTTACTGTTGCATTTATCTGTCTTTCAATTACCGTCTGCCCGCACGGCCGTCACAGCAATTTTTGACCTAATACTCTTGAGGAGAGAGAGAAGAAGAAGAAGAAGAGAGAGAGAGAGAAGGAGAGAGAGAGAGGTTGGTGAAAAGTATCTAAAAGCTCACCAACCGATGGGAGGGCAGAGTGGGTGGGGGACATTAAGTGGGTTAGATTTGATGGAACGGATGGAATGGGTGGGGGAGTGTGATTAAAAATAATAATAATAATCCTTGCATTTGATATAGCACTTTTCCGGTCATCGAGACATCTCAAAGTGCTTCACAGAATACACTGCAAAGTGGAGACTGTGACGGTGAAACATGGCAGCCAATTGCACACAGCAGTGTCCCACAAACAGTCGTAGATTAAGTGACCAAAATTTTTTTGGAGCGATTATCTGGAGCGAATACTGTCTTTTGTCACTGAATCTGAAAATAATTTCTCTCTATCCGATCAACTTTTCAAGCCTGATCCTATGTTCCTATCAACACCATTCAGAAATTAGAAACTGTCCATTGGATTGTGGATTGAATCCTGTAGCTCAGTGGTTAGAGCACTCATCTTGCAAGTGAGAGACCTGGTTTTGATTCCTGGCAGGACGAAACCTCGGGCAAGTTTCATTACATTGTAATCTTTCAAGAAAAAAAAACAATAATAATTTGGTCACTCAATCCACGACTGTTTGTGGGATGCAGCTGTGCGCAATTGGCTGCCTCATTATACAAAATATACAGACAATTCACAGTATATTCTGTGAAGCACTTTAAGACGTACCAAAGGCATGAAAAGCACTATATCAAATGCAAGGATTATCATTATTATTATTGGATTTTAATGTCTTTTCTATCTTTAAGTTCATAACTTTACCTCCCTATTGAGAGCAGAATGTTTTTAACTAGAGGGTGTGAGAGCTAATGCACTTAAAGATATAGCACACCTCAAAACAACAGGAAGGGCTTCACCGAGTAGTGCTGTTTGGTTGGGTTGTTTATGTGGTTTGATTTGTTTTTTAAAAAAATTACTCAAGTTAAGAAACAGGTTCCGAAAAATTGTTTTGGGATTTTGTAGTTGGGGAGATCTGGCAGGCTGTTCTGTTGGAAAACTGTGGAGTCCTATTAGCTCAGTGGCCTGGCAAGGGAGGGGATCTAGGCTCGATTCCCGACAGGGCGAAATGTTTGGCAAGTTTCCTTACTCCACACACCTCTGTTTACCTAGTAGTCAGTAGGAACCTGGTTGTTAGTCAATTGGCAGATCTCTTTTCTGGGGGTAATAATTTCTTTTGATTAATAAATAATAATAATAATATAGTCACTCAATGACTGTTTATCAGACACTAAGGTACGTAATTAGTACGTAAGTTTTGGAACACATTGTTGCCAATTAAATTTGCTCACATCTCTCTCTCCACTCCCTACTCGAACTCCTCCAGTCTGGTTTCCGTGCTGCCCACAGCACAAAGACAAGCTCATCAAGTAACAAATGACGTTTTCTCTCTCTCTGTAACCAGGGATCCCTCTGCCTCCTTGTTCTCATTGAGCTCTCCACCACGTTCGACACAGTCGATCATACCATCTTTCTCCATCCCCTCTCCTCCCTCATCCATCTTACTGGTACCACACTCACATGATTCAAATCCTATTTAACAAACGGCCAACAATTTATCTTGGGAAACGGGTTCTCCTCCTGCTCCTACCTGGTCACCTGTGGGGTACCCCAAGGCTCCATCCTTGGCCCTCTACTTTTCATCATTTAGACCCTCCCTCTCGGCAATGTCATCCGCAAACACGGGGTAAACTTCAACACATATGCAGATGACTCCCAAATCTACTCCTCTTCATCCAGCTTTGACTCCCAGTTCGCTGATGTCCTGTCAACTCGTCCAAGAGTTGAATTAGTGCAAATTTCCTGCAGTTGAACGTTGGCAAAGTCTTCTTTCCTGTGGATTCAAACTCCTCAACCTCCCCGGGCTCTCCATCAGACTCTCCGAAACCCAATCCCAATTTAAGCATCAGGTTCAATCCACAGCTTTCCTTTCTCCCCCACATCTGTTCCCTGACCAGGACTGCTTTTTTCCACCTCTGCCACATTGCTCACCTGCTTTGATGTGATCCAATACAAGCCTCATTACTGAGGCTCTCCGTCCCCCTCCAGGGAAATTCCGAAATGCCACTTACACATTAAATAAATATATTAAAATAGGGTCTTACTCAACCACCAAAGCAGCAGCTGCAACAAAAGTACCTTCTCCCTGATGAGGAAGTGGCCTTTGGAGATGATTAGACCACTTCTTATTTCTTTGACCCAGAAACATGCCTACAATATTTCGGGTTTCCTTCTTTGCAGAGGCAACTGGCAGGAACCATGTCTAACACTGGCCTCTTGCCCAGGCTGAAGAGGCACAATATAGGCTGAGTGGCACAGTTTATCTGAACATTAATGAAGGAACATTCATCCTTACTCAGCGCTGTCAAACCCTTCACCCACACATCCATCACCTTAAGGTTCCATTTCTCTATCACTTTCATAAGAACGTAAGAATTTGCTAGGCGTAAGAAGACCAAGGTCCATTTAGTTTGCCTTCCACCATCCTGGCAATCATTTGACATGTTGTGCCCCAAACTATATATACTGTATCCCAAGATATTATCGTCTAGCAAAAATCTATCCAATTTGTTCTTGAAACAAACTCGTTCTCCTCGCTGACCTTCCCACATCCATCCTGCATAAGCGCCAACCCACCCAACACCTGACAAGTCCATATTCTCTCACACCAGGCTCCTCACACCACACCCATTCCCATCCTCTCAAGCATAAACTCTGTTACCCCACATTGGATCAACTTCAAGATCTTTCTATTGACCTTCAAAACCATTGAGGAACTTGCCTGCCAGTATCTTTGCAATCTCCTCTGCCTTTGTACTTTGCTCTTCTAAGTCCACCATCAGGGGACGGGTCTTCAGCTTTCCTGCCCCCAGTATTTGGAACTTCATCCCACAGTCCCTTCACCTTGCCTCTTTCCTTGCCTCCTTCAAGGTCCACCTCAAGACCCTCCTCTTCGACCTCACCATTGGTCACCCTCTTACCCCTACCCTACCTGCCCTCCACCCCTCCTGATGCCAATCCCCTGCTCGGGTCCAAATCCTCGACTGTCCAGCACCTTGGGACATCCTCCCAACATGAAAGGCTCTGTGTAAATGTAATTTGTTTGCTCATTCCTCATTGTCTCAAAATTGATTTGACTTCCTCTGGCCCTGCCTTCAAAATGTTTGGTTGAATCCCTCAAATTCTCCTCTGTCCCTCTCTGCTCAGTGATTTCATGATTATTTAATGTTGTTGAGACGTTAACTCAATATGGAAGTGTCTAAGTGTATGATGTTATCAGTCAAGACTCTCAAGTCACGACAACATTTTTTTTAACAAATGCTTTTCAACCGTGCCTTCAGCATCCCTCTCGACTCTCTACCCCCTCCTCACTCCCTCCCTTCCCTCCCCTCACCCTGACCATTTCCCCCCTCCTCGCTCGCTCCCTTCCCTCCTCCCACCCTGACCATTTCCCCCCCCGCTTGGGTCCCGACCCAACTGTCTTGGGATGTCCTCCCGACGCGAAAGGCGCTTTATAAATGCAATCTTGTTGTTTTTTAATTCCCTGCTAACGTTTACATGGAAACATCTCCAGGCAGAGTTTAGTAAGCAACATATTGAATTATCAGAGTCAGGGCCCAGTACCACAGTAATTGCTGTAGAGTGAAGTGATTGTGTGTTTGCAGGTGAACAAGGCATTTTGACTCTGCAATGTGCCACAGACAGCCAGGAGGTGAATGATGAATTGAGGCATGTGTGTTTAGCAAGGAAACTTGACTCAGGTTTCATCCCACCCAGGAATCAAAACCAGATCCCCTTTCGTGCGTGCAGAACATGTACAAAGCGTGTGCACTTCACCTGAAATAGAAGTGCCTGATATGTAGTGGAAAGTAGCGGGCTGCAGGGTTCTGTTTGGTTGATGTACTTTTTTTGTCTCTGTTGGAAGGTGGTGCTATTAACGTGGAACAGAATGGCTCAGTAACTGAGCTGTTCAACTTATTTTCCGTCTCACGTGAGTTGCACTGAGAGAGCACTGGGTTGCTCACAGTGAAAGCAGCTACCCCAGCTTAAAGGCAAAATACTGCAGATACTTGAAATCTGAACTAAAAATAGAAGTGAGTTATTGTTTCATCAGTCCTGAAACGTTACTACACTTTCCTCTCTCAATAGATGTTGTCTGACCTGCTGAGAGTTCCCAGCAACTTCTGTTTTGATTTAACCCTAAGTTAAAGATCGCTTACAGCAACAACAACAAATTGCATTTACACAGGGCCAATCATGTCGGGAGGACATTCCAAGGAGCTGGGCAGTCAGGGATTTGGACCCAAGCTGAGGTTTGGGATCAGGAAGGGTGGGGGGCAGGAAGGTAGGGGTAGGAGGGTGACCAAAGGTGTGATCTAAGACAAGACAGGGGATGTCCAGTTTAGTTTGAGAGAAGGTAGGATAAGAATTCCTCCCCAACCATCCCCCCCCCCCCACTTCCTCTGCTCGGGTCCTAATCCCTGACCAGGGTCCTGTAGCTTAGTGGTTAGAGCATTCACTTTGCAAGCAAGAGACCTGGGTTCGATTCCAGGCAGAGTGAAACCTTGGGCAAGTTTCCTTACTCCAATTGGTTATTTCAATCCAATTGTGCATAATTGGCTGCCACATTTCACCCACAAATATGATATCAATTCACTTTACAGTCTACTCTGTAAAGCACTTTGGGACGTCTAGAATAATAATAATTATTATTATTACTGTTCAGCACCTTGTAAAGTCCTCCCAATGTGAAAGGCGCTTTACAAATGTAATTTTGTATTGTATAGTCACAGTTCTTTCCGCTCCAGCAAGCCTGACAGTAACTCACACAACTCCACAGGATGATCTGTGTCATCTTTTGGAACTCCATCCCACAGTCCCTTCACCTCGCTCCCTCCCTTGCCTTTTTCAAGGCATGTCTCAAGATCCTCCTCTTTGACCATGTTTTTGGCCACTTGCCTACCCTCCCTGTCCTCCACCTCTCCTGATCCCAAACCCCTGCTTGGGTCCAAATCCCTGATTGTCCAGCGCCTTGGAACGTACTCCTGAACGTGAGAGGCGATGTGTAAATGTAATTTGTTGTTGCAACCACTGTCACTCTTCTCCTGACAAAGAGACTGATTGAGCTGAGTGGCTGTTGTCCTAACGTTATAACTTACCTGAACATAAGATTAGCACCTTTAATATCAGGGCTCAGCAATAGTAGATGACGACTTAAATTTTATGGGTAGGGTTTTTCTGTTTATCATGTCACAGTGGATCCTCAGACTTAACACCAGACCCAGAAGTTGAAATGAAAGGATCTTATCTGTCATAATGATTTTTTAGCAGAATCATTTCCTTCTTCTTTGAAAGCTGCTGCTGTACTGCTTAGCACATAGACACTGAACACCTTCAATATCCTGTTCAAGTGGTGAGTCATCATATAGAGCAGGGTTTTGAGGTGTACCTTGAACGAGGCGATGGAGGGAGTGAGGAGAAGGGAATGTGGGATGGAGTTCCAGAAGGTGGGAGCAGAAAGGCTGAAGGCCCAGCAGCCAATGGTAGGACGTGCCGGGCGGGAGACGTGGAATGGACAGGTTGATTAGGGAATCTATTGCCCCATATCCCTTGATACCCTTACCAAACAAACAGACAGGGCTATCAAGGGTATGAATAATGATCAGAAATTAGAACTCAATACATTTTCCAGGTTGAATATTTCTTGATTTATGGCCACAACATAAACATTGCCAGTCAGTAACTACTGGAAACAAAACAATGATTTAAAGCGTACTCACCCAGACTAGTGTTAATGTTTGCTGGGCCACTTCTTGAAGGGCCCATGGGTAGGGTGACTACATTTTGTAAAACAAATCTGGGGACACCCGTAAAAAAAACTGAACTCACTACAATTGCCGATGCTGGCAGTTACTGGATTAACGGCTGTTTCTCTGATGAGTAGATCTGTTTGGGAATATTATTGTTTTTGCTCAGTTTGTTGTTGAACTCAAGATGGGGCACATTTGGCCCCAGGGACACAGTGGACTGTCCCCAGATATCAGAGACATATGGTCACCTATTCGAGAGCCACTTCCAGGCTTGGGATGTGGCGCACCTGTGGATTAGGGATTGAACCTTGCACCTCCATGGGTATATACCATATGGCTTAGTTCTTCTCTGTTCATTACCAACAAAGCCATCAGGGAAGTAACATACTTAATAATAACCAAGACACTAGGTTTAAAAGGGCTGTTACAGTAAGTTCTGTGCTTTAATCTATTTTGGAGAGAGCACAGTACAGACTCAAGGATGTCACCAGCGGTGAGTGGATACAGCTAGCATGAAAGAGTGGCTTTTCTCTCTAGAGATGAGATGAGGTGAGAATGTGGAACCCATTGCCAAAATTTAGGCCAAGGAAAAAGCACCAATGTAAAGAAGAGAAAACTTCACGCATACATGAGGGATTAAAGAAGGGATTAAAAGGGTATAGGAGAAGGAATAAAACAAGAGCAACACATTTACATTTATGTAGTGCCTTTCATGTCAGGAGGATGTCCCATGGTGAATAGGAGGACTGGGTTCTGGTATAGCCTATAAACACTATAAAGACAGACTAGTTGAGTCAAATGCCTGTTTCAGTGTTGTATTGTTCTACATAAATGTATATTTAGTTTGAGAAGCTCTGGAATTGGTGATTTGTCTGCTGTATATTCAAATTCAAACAATTTTCCTACCAAAATCCCCGCCATCCCTTCCTAATCACAATCACGACAAATTGCATTCATGTAGAACTTGTCATGTCAGGAGGACGTCTCAAGGTGTTAGATAGTTGAGGGTTTGCACCAGAGCTGGGGTTGGATTTGGGAGGGATGGGGGCAAGACGTGGGTGTGTGGCAGGGAGGTTGGAGATGACAAATAACAAAGTCAAAGAGGAAGGTCTTGAAATGAACGTTGAAGAAGGCGAGGGCACTCACCATTTTCTGTCATAAGTTCTGTCAACGTATAAATCTCTCTCTCTGTATCAGAAAAATTACCTCGGTTGATGTGGATAGATATTCGTTAGGTCAGGCTATTAAGGGATATGGGGCAAGGGTGGGTAATTGGAGTTGAGGCACAGATCAGACATAGAATGCCAGAACAGGCTTGGGGGGCTCAATGACCTACTCCTGTTCCTGTGTGAGTCAAATGCTCTATTATAAAGTTAACATTAGATCACCACTGATTCTTATGAATTGTATGCGGTGCAATCGAGGGGGATTTTATAGCACAGGAAGCCATAATGTATGTGTGCTGTTGCTCGCTCCTGTTTCCCTGCTCTTTCCCCTATTGTGTCTGTGCTGTTGCTCACTTTCCCACAGGAGCTCTGCACTATAATCCTAATTCGTTCCCTGAACTATACTGAACCCCTTTATATAATTAAGAGCTGGCAAATTAAGCAGAATCCTGCATGAATTCTAGAGTCATGAAGTCATGAAGAATTCACAAGGCATGAAGTTTAGAGTCTGCGTCAGCACAGCACATGATACAGGAAGCTAATTGTACCCAGTGACCACAATTTTCTTTGAAAATTGTACCTCTGCTGCATGAAGGCTCTGTAGAGGCTGTGTTTAGATTTATAGCAAAATCTGTTACTTTAATCCCACGTTTGAGGTGCAGCGTTTGAGGTGCGTTGGAGCTTTCAGACAGGAAACAACACCAGGCTCGGGTGTGACCTCCAAATGGATCCGAGATTGAGTTTTAAAAGAGAAGCTTTGCTGGCTCGTGCCTCCAGCAATGAAGTACGAGGCAGGGCCGTCCTTTGTCGGATGGATTACAGAGATTACATAGAGAATCTAATGGAGGTTTTCAAAATCATGTTTTTCATGATAATAATAACCCTTGTGTCTGGTATAGTACCTGACCATGTCTTCGAGACGACTCACAAACTCAAAGATTGAATGACCCAATTTTTTTTAAGGGATTATTACCTCTGGAAACGCAATCCACCAATTGACTTAACAACTGGGTTCCTTTACTGCTGTTAAACAGAGGCGTGTGGAATAAGGAAGTGTGCCTAACATTTTACCCTGCCCGGGAATCGAACTCTCGCTTGCGAGGCGATTGCTCCAACCACTGAGCTGCAGGACCACATGATCAATCAAATTGTTAGTGACACAAACAGGAACGGGGTTACACGCTGAGTTAGACATTGTTCACCTCTGGGACAGGGTTTGAATCTCTTCAAACTGATGGTATGAAAGTCTATCTGTGTGGTTGCCAATTTCAAAGGTACAGAATTATGTTAAATCTCCATTTCTATTGCTTTTCAGCTGCCCAGCACTCGATATGGCAGAGGGATGTCTAAAAGTCCTCAAATATATTCTGTTTGCCTTCAATTTCATATTCTGGGTGAGTGCTGGTAAAAAGGGTGTTTGAGCAGAATGCTTGGGAACAGTAATGCAGCAGCAATATCAGGGTCCATCCATCTAATGCCGCACAAGATTCTTTCTGTGTGCAGTGAAATTCAGTTCATGGAATGCTCAATTTAACAGCGAAAATTATTCAGTAAACTAAACCATTCATATAGCAATCTAAATAACAATCTAACATAAATGTAAAAGTACAGATCTGAATATATATGTTAAGCCTCTTCCAATGAACAGAATTATGACAGCTTGGCTGTGCAGTTGCCGGGTGTGATGCATTATGTGCCAATGTTTCCTGCATTTTCAGCTCCTTGGATGTGTTATCCTGGGTCTCGGAATATATCTGCTGGTGGCTAACAACTTTGGAGCATTGTTTCCCTCACTTCCATCCCTGTCTATTGCCAACGTCCTGATCATTGTGGGCTCGGTCACTATGGTGGTGGCATTCGTGGGTTACATGGGAGCTATAAAGGAGAACAAGTGCCTCCTTTTATCGGTAAGTTGATGGAGGATGAGATGTATGTTGCATGTTGATAGTGTATTGACACATTAAACACCTTAACAAGTTTCACAGTAATAATGGCCATTGTGGTTACTTTTGGCAAATGCAACAGCCATTTTGTGCACAGCCATGTCCCAATTGTTAGTCAGGACGAGCTAACTACTGAACCAAGCTGACATCAAGTTAATCACAAGCCACATGGTTTGCCTTAATTGCGATTTCTAGTTTCTGAATAATAATGATAATCCTTGCATTTGATATAGTGCCTTATCACGTCGTTGAGCACTTTACAGAATATACTGTGGAGTGAATTGACTGTTTATTTTGTGGGTGAAATTCTCTAAAGAAAAAAAAGGAGGAAAAAGGAGGTGATTAAGGAAATAATTTATTTTTTGTAGAGTGTTGTTAGGATGTGGAATGCTCTGTTGGGTATGGTGGTCAAGGTGGGATCCATTTAAGCTTTCAGGATGAAACTAGATAGATATCTAAAAAAAGAATAATTTTCAGGGATATTGGGAAAAGGCAGTTAACTGGATTGTTCTTTCAGAGTCAGCACAGACACAATGGAATGAATGACCTTCTTCAGTAGTATAAACTTCCTCCATTTCCCCCAGAGATGATGTCTGAAAAACTTTAATCTCCCACTTGCCCTCCACCCTCTCCGATCCCAGCTCAGATGCAAAACACTGATTGTCCAGCACCTTGGGACGTCCTCCTGACGTGAAAGGCACTATACAAATGTAATTTTGTTGTTGTACCTAAGTAGGGAGGTCCTAGCTGTAATTTGACCATATCGTATTGAGTGTGGACATCGAGGCTACATTGTGGTGATACCGCAAGTAGTGGAGCTGCTATGAGAAGTGGTTACTTTCTGTCACTCATGTGTTGCCCTTTTCTCTCCCGGGTTTTCTAGTTCTTCATCCTGCTCCTCCTGATTCTGATGGTGGAAGTAGTTGTTGCAATCATGCTCTTCTTCTATGAAATTCAGGTACGCTGCACAGCTCGTGGGGGGGAGGGGGCTATGAGGCGAGCACCACACACCTGTTCCCTGCTGAATCCACCCAATTCTTACAGATACCAGTAATCTCTGCATTTAATAAACAACAACAACAACTTGCACTTATGTAGCAACCTCCATGCAGTGTAGAATCTCAGAGGGTTTAACAGTAGTGGAGCCTGACTCCGAGCCGGGGAGGAGAAAAGGTGTCCATAAGCACAGTTGAAAAGGAAGGTTTTCAGGTGGGACTTGAAAAAGGAAAGAGGGGGCAAGGCGGAGGGATTGATCTCCTCAACCTCCCTGGGTTCTCCCTCAGACTCACCAAACAAGTACACAATCTAGGCATTTGGTACGACCCCCAGCATGTCGGTGTGTAGTGGCTGAATGCACAATTTCCAATGGTGGGGCAGAGGGTGCGAGGGACAAGCAGGAGCCGGTGCCAGTCGAGCAGAGGCACCAGGTGGTGGATTGAGGAGTGAGGAGCTTGGAGAGATAGGGAGGTAGCAGGAAGTGAAGGGATTTGAACACAAGTGTGAGGATCTTGGTCGATCCGTTTGGTGATGAGGAGCCTGTGGAGCCTGGGCCAGAACTGGTGAGATGGAGGTACGGAGTTTGGACCGGGTAAGTATGCAGGCAGCAGAGTTCTGAATGGGCTGGATGTTTTTAGTGGAGCTGGGGAGACCGGCAAAGAGTGTGTCTGAGTAATCCAGGCAGGTGACAAACACATACACGAGGGCTTCGGCTGCATTTGGGGTAAGGTATGGTCAGAGGTGGTGGAGGTAGCGGTCCTGGTCAGGGATCGGATGTGGGGAGAAAGGACAACTGAGGGTCGTACCGGACACCTAGATTGCGCACTTGTTTGGTGAGTCTGAGAGAGAACTCAGGGAGCTTGAGGAGATCAGATCTGCAGGAATGAAGACATTGACGGGAGCCAAGGAGTTTGGCTTCCTCTTGTCCACATTCAGCTGCAGGATGTTTGCATTCGTGCAGGCCCTGATATCTGCCAGACAAGCTGATAGAACTTTGGCGAACCTGGAGTCGATACCTGAGGTGGAAAAGTAGATTTGTGTGTCATCCGCATATAGGTGGAGGTGGGCTTGCTGTCACAATGTCTCACAGTGCCTGTACACAACCACTCCTCTCTGTGAAGGGTACACTCTGTTTGGCAGCCAATTTGAGCACAGCGATCTCCCAGTAATTCTATCTGAATTAATATGATCTCCAGTCACCTACACAATGCCATTTCTCTCCTCAACCCCAATCCCATTCCTCAATCAAATTCCCAAACCAATTCCCCTCTCAATCCCATTCTCCTCCCTAATCTTGTTCCTCTTCCCAACTTCACTTGCCTACACAATCCCCTCCCCAATTCCATTCACCCCATTTCCTCAAATACAGTACAACAACTTGCATTTATATCGCGTCCTTCACTTACGGGAGTGTCTCCGAGCACTTAGACAGTATAGCAGTGTCCAGCTGTACTCTGCCCCTCATCTCGCAGGGAAGATTTACTTTATGGAGCAGCCAAGGTAAAGCCAAAAGACGTCCAAAGCTGAGAAATTGAAAGTCTGGTTGTGGGGGAGATGGGAAGAGAAGGTTCAGTACAGTATTTGTAAGAGTGAGACTGAAAGAGCAGGTAAGATTAGGAGAGCAAGTGCCTGACACGGCAGGAGCTAGGATTTTCTTTAGACTCAGCGGCGTGTGTTAGAGTTGGTGGTACCTTGCCAAGAAATCAAGGGACTGAACAGTTGTGTGCCCTGCACGCAGTCACACACACATGCTTTCTCAGGACAGGGGGCAGAGTCATCACAGAGGTCAGGCTGACCCTCCCAATATGATCCAGAAAGTCTGGGATGTGGGAAGAGCAGCTGACAACCTAATAGTGTGTGTGTGTGTATGTGTGTGTGTCTGTGTGTGCATACGAGTTAATGTGTGTGCGTGAGTGTGTGTGAATTTGGGGGGTTCATGGGCCTGAGATCCCAGCAGCTATTGCTGGGAAGTCCAACCTTTTGACCGGTGCTGAAGGGGCAGCATCAAACATTAGAAACGTATGACACATACAGAGGTGATCAATAACTGTGTTTGCTCCTCGCTGATGAAGCTTATTGAGTCACCATTACCAGCTGTGAGACCCTAATCTCCTGACTATTCATACCCCATTTACCAGATTGATGAGTACGTTCAGCGTGATATGAGAGACGGATTGAAGAAGCTCGAAAAAGCAAACAACACTGGATTATCTGATGCATGGAACCAAATTCAATCACAGGTAAATTGATCTCAATATCAACCAATTTTGCACAGTTCATCTCATCCTCATGCCTTCAGATCATCTACCCTGTAGTTTTTGTGTAGAAATAGAATAGATTCTGGTATATTTTGTGAAGAAATACATTTCATTTCTATTGCAACGTTTCCATGTCCTCTTAAGCGGAATGATTTCAAATGTTTTAAGTAGATGCAAAGTTCAATTGCAATCTGATGTCTTTTTTGGTCAGCCAGGGTCTGACACATGTGGAAACCCATCACCGTGCATAAAATTATCCAAACCAAACTGATAATTCCATGGAAACCCCAGAAACAGATTGTTGGAAAGGAATCACACTCTCTCCCTAGGGGGACACATCCTGCTTACCTAATTCCAGGAAGTATTAGCTGCAGGTTGGCAAGAGCCAAGGCTTGGGAGCACTATAGTGTGCGTTAGGTTAACTGCTGGAGTCTAACCAGATAAAATCACATAGCTTGCTGTTGATGTCACAGTCTGGCAAGCTTTCCCACTGCTTGTCCAGTTAGCCCTACCCGTTAGGGCTTTAATCTGATGTCTGAAATCCTGGTTTCTGTTTAATACTCCAAATAATTAAAGGAGAAGATAAGTGATGAGTTAGGTGACACTCTCGTCTTCCATCTGGATAGTATAATAACATTTGTGGGATGAACTGGCTCCAAGGTGACATGCCTGGCAATGGAATGACAGAAGCAAGCTGGCAGATTTGCATTACTCAGGGCACTAAATGATGACAGACCAGCCATCCTAGCTTGTGAACAGGACTTGGAGCAGACTTGTCGATCACTGAGGATGTGTGTCAGATACCCAAATGATCAAACAGTACACATAATCAAATGTCACAAGATTTGAGTAAAAAAACACTTCATTTCTTAACAATTTGATATGATAATTGACCTATGTGATTGTATCCTTGGAACAGAGAAGGTTAAGGGGAGCCCTGATAGGGGTCTTCAAAACTAAGAAGAGTTTTGATGCAGCAAATGGGGGAGAAATTAATTCTGCTCATTGGTGAATCAGTGATGAGACCACATCAATTTAAAACAGTGAGCAAGGGAGGAAAGGTGGAGATTAGGAGGAATGTTTTTACACTGAGAGGGGGTAGGATGTGAAATGCCCTTTTTAGTGTGATGGTGGTGACACGATCCATAATTAGCATTCAAGAGAGAAGTGGATAGATATATAAAAGGAAAAAAACTCCAGGTTTATGGGAAAAAAGACAGTTCATAGGATTGATTGGATTGTACATTCAAATAGCTATCACAGTCTTCTTCTGGGCTGTAAAAGGTGTCCAGAGCAAAGTCATTTTACCCACCCATTACAAAACACAGATGAGAGACTGCAGAGGAGCTGAAAGAAACTGCCAGCGATGCATTTCGCCTCCTTACTCCATCCATGTGACAGAAAATGTCACACTGACCAAATATGGCGATGGATCATTATCTGCCATGAAAATGTTGGAGCTCACTCACTCACACTCACTCACACTCACTCACACAAACCCTCTGGATGTCCAGAATCAGTTAAACACTTAAGTACTCCTAAATATAATTATCATCATTCTTCCACATATTTTAGTTGTTGGTTAGTGCACTGCAGAAAAAAAAACACACAAGACTTTGTGGACATCCTGTACATTTCTATGATTCTATGTGTGCTGTTCATTTCTGAGTCGGTTTGATGATGTGTGCCCTTTTTTCATAGCTTAAGTGCTGCGGGGTGGTCAACCACACTGACTGGGGCAGAAATGTACCAGCCTCATGCTGTCTAGATAACAAAAATCCATGCACGGACTTTGTGAAAGAGGTGAGCTTCAAAGATGTTCTTGTACAAATCTCACCTTCAGGGAAGACATAGAAACTGATGATTTTCTTCTGATGCACTTAGGCAGCCTTTGGAACACTCTTACTCTGTCCATCCGCCGTGCCCCTTCCTTCCCCATCTTCAGGTCACTCCTAAAGGCCTTCCTGTTTGACTGTGCCTACGGTCAGTTCCCCGTCCCCCCGGCTCAGTGTCGTGCTCTGCCACTGTCAAGCGCTCTGGGTCGCTACCCTGCATGAGGGGTGCTGTATACATGCAAGTTGATGTTGTAGTTTGCACTCTGCAATTTTACTAATCTAATTGCTAAAATATTTTGAACATGTGGGACAATGGGAGGGAGAGACCCTGGCGCATCACTCAAGGGGATAGGAAATCAGGGACACAAAGACACAGAAACACCGACTGACTTACTCAGGAATAGGCCAGATGAACTTCCGGTTGGGAATAGGATTGAAAGTGATCAGAAAAAGTGAAGATTAACAGCAAATGCTCCATAGAAAGTGCTTTAATAAAAGCAGGGAACAGTGATGCAGATACAATGGACTGACCATCTCCTGTCTTGAAAATCGAGGTATTCACAATGATGTGAGATGTTACTAAAGAAAATTGGGGCAAACTATTTCTACAACACCACCACCTTGCATTTATACAGCGCCTCTCAGGCAGGGTAGTATCCCAGTTCTAATGGTCAGTATCAGCCTGGCGCAGTGATGGCACTCTCACCTCTGAGTCAGAAGATTGTGGGCTGAAACCCCACATCTCGGGGCTTGGAATCACATAGTCTAAGATGACTCTCCAATTCAGCACTAGGAGTGTGTTGCATCATCGGAGGTTCCCTCCTCTGCATGAGACGGTAAACCGAGGTCCTGTCTGCCTGTTCAGGTGGGTGTTAAAGATTCACATGGCTTGTTTTGAAAAGAGAAGGGAGTTTTTCCTGACCAACGATCTCCTCAAATCATAGAATCATAGAATCGTACAGTTCAAAAAGAGGCCATTCGGCCCATCGAGTCTGTGACGGCTCTTTGAATAGAGCAATGTAATGTCAATCCCACTCCCCGGCCCTTTCCCCATAACCTGCAAACCCGTCCTCCTCAAATACCCATCCACCGCGTTTTTAAAAGTAGTTATCGAATCAGCCTTCACTGCCCTTTCAGGCAATGATTCGAACAACTCACTGTGTGAAAAAATTTCTTCTCCCCTCCCCTCGGCTTCTTTTAGAGACTATTTTGAATCTGTGACCTCGAGTCACCGACACACCCACCAGTGGGAACAGTTTTTCCCTTTCTAACCTATCAAATCCCCTCATGATTTTGAAGACCTCTATTAGGTCTCCTAGTAACCTTCAATGAGAATAATCCCAGCCTCTCTAGCCTTTCTAAAAAATATTGGTCCCTTCCTCCGTGGCTGTTTGTGGGATGCTGCTGTGCACAAACTGGCTGCTGTGTTTTGCCCACAAAATACACAGTCAATTCACTTTACAGTATATCCTGTGAAGAGCGTCTCAATGATGTGATAAGGCGCTATATCAAATACAAGGATTATTCTAATTATTACTGTTACGGTCGGTGAATCAGTGATTAGAGGCATCAATTTAAGATCATCACCAAAACACAGAGAGTGGAGTTAGGAGAGTTTCCTTTGGGCAGAGGATTATTATGGCAATGAATGCCTGACCAAATGATGGCAACAACAACAACAACAACAAGATTCCATTTATTGAGCGCCTTTCACGTCGGGAGGACGTCCCAAGGTACTGTACAGTTGGGTCAGGACCTGAGCATTGGGGGGAAATGGTCAGGGTGAGGGGAGGGAAGGGAGGGAATGAAAAATATAAGAGAACAGGGGGCACGTGAGTGGAACTCAACACACAGCACCATCACACAGCCCACAGCCATCAGAGCACGATGGGCTGAACAATAATCGTTATAATAATCCTTGCATTTGATGTAACGCCTTATCACTTCCTTGAAAAGACTCAAAGCGCTTCAGAGAATATACTGTAAAGTGAATTGACTGTGTATTTTGTGGGCGAAACACAGCCAATTGCACACAACAGAGTCCCACAAACAGCCTTGGGTAAAGTGACCAAATTGAATGAATGGCACCTTCTGTGCATTAAAGTTGGTCAATCACTTCATGGCTGTTTGTGAAACATTATTGTCCTGTACTGTGTTTGTCTACAACTATACAGACAGTACATGTCACAGCAAAAATCCTGCAGAGCCCTTCAAGGATGTTTCAATGATGTAATAAGGCACTATATCAAAACATGAAGGCTTATGATGTTTTTCTTGTGTGTTCTCCAGGGCTGCTATGAGAAATTCAGGAACTGGTTTGATGGGAACTTCCTTTTAGTGGGAATAATAATCATCTGCGTGTCAATTATCCAGGTAAGGTTTCAAGATTAAAGCACTTTCCCAGCTCAGTGAGTGCCTGGCTGCCGCTCATTTAAGTGAAAGATATAATTCCGTTGAGCGGAGCAGCCCCTGATCAGCTTCCAGGACAGATCTTCACACACAATCAAGCTGCCAGTCTGTCAGATAACTTGCTGCTTCAAAATGGTCAGTAGAAAAATTATTTTCCCGGACACATCACTTAAGGTGCTGTGTCCAAATGCAGATTGGATTGAAACATTTTAGAAAATTCTGCTGAATCTTAAATTTTCAGACAATGGTTTTAAGTGCGCAATTGGCTGCCGCGTTTCAGTCAATTCACTTTACAGTATATTCTGTGAAGCGCTTTGAGGCGTCTCGAAGACGTGATAAGGCGCTATATCAAATTCAAGCACAACAATAGAAACAACAACTTGCATTTATATAGCATGGATATTACGCAATCCATGACTGTCTGTGGGATGCTGCTGTGTGCAATTGGCTGCCGGTTTTGTCCACAAAATTGTCCATAGCCAATTCACTTTACAGTATATATGATAAAGCGCTTTCAGACATCTCAATAATGAGTGTTTGACAGTGGCAGAGCACAATTCCAAGTAGGGGGGAAGGAGAGGTGACCGTAGGCACAGTTGACTAGGAAGGTCTTCAGACGCAACCTGAAAATGGGGAAGGAATGTGCAAGGCGGAGGGGTAGAGGAAGAGTGTTCCAGAGTTTTGGAGTATAGCGGCTGAAAGTGTGGCCACCAATGATGGAACGGAGGCCATGGGGGGACATGCAGGAGGCAGGAGCCAGTCGAGCGGAGGCAGTGGGTTGGGGGTTGGGGCATAAGCGGTTGGAGAGGTAGAAGGTGCTATGGCTTGAAGGGATTTGAAAACAAGTGTGAGGATCTTGAAATCGATCTGTTCAGCAATAGGGAACTAGTGGAGCCTGGCTGGAACTGTCATGCTGGGGGTACAGAGTTTAGTACAGATGAATATGCGGGCGGCGGAGGTTTGGATCAGCTGGATCCTATGCACAGTGGAGCTGGGGAGACTGACAAAGAGGACATTTGAGAAGTCGTAGTAGCATTAATAGTATGATGGGTAGGGTTTTGTATTTAGTATGGGCTCATTATAAAGATCAGAGATGTCAATCTGTGTTGCTGATGTTGTTATTTCTGTCTAGGTTCTAGGCATGTCCTTCGCTATGACCATGTACTGCCAGATCTCCAGCAACTATAAATGCAATTAATTACATGTGGGACTGTAAATATGTCTAAGATTGAATACTTTGCTCTTCTCAAGACCAACACTTTCCTATCTTGTTGCTCAAATCTTCAATGTATTAAAATGGGGTCAATCCAGTTCATCAGTCGTCCATTTCACCTTCCCAGGAGATCAAGAGTGACTCCCGGTTTCTGCAGTATCAAACGCTGAACATTACCAAATCCAGGAAGATGATTGGCTTCTCTTGTTTGTTAAGAAGATTCCTAGAGATAGTGATCAACAATAATTGTTCTCTTCATTTCTATGGAAGAAACCAGCAGAACTGGACAGAAAGTGCCATGCTCTCAAACATTGCCTTAGTGTCCGAGGCATTGTTTCCAAGCCACTATCAGCGACCGTAACTCTTATAGACTTATTGGTTATTGATCTGTTGTTCCGGCCAGGACTCTCTTACGTTTCTTTTCTTTGTATGAATATTTTATAAGTAACTTTTTCCAGAAATAATTATGTATTAGTAATAATAATAATTCTTGCATTTGATATAGTGCCTTATCACATCTTCGAGATGTCTTCAAGCGCTTCACAGAATATATTGTAAAGTGTAGTGACTGTGTATTTTGTGCTTTTGCGGGCAAAGCACATTCAATAACTTTGTAGGTAAACACTTCTCCAACTGAGGTCTGGTCCATTGGCCAGGCCAAGAATCAGCTGTTAACCATCTGTTTTCTCTCTCCTTTGAAATTGCTATGGACTCCTCTCCTCTGAACACAATAGTTTGTTTCCCAACTGCACATTCAATATTACACATATTTGGTGAAAATTGAGTTTTATTCTTTTGGACAATTTTGTAACCTTGAAAATGACAAAATATCAATATTAAAAAAATCTATTTTTATCCATGAAGTCATTTTTATTCAATTGCAGAACATCTGAAAAAACACCAAATAGGCATTGACCGATTGTTATTCATTTCCAAAATATATACTCTATCCAAAATATAATAATAATAATTCTTGCATTTGATAAAATGCCTTATCAAGTCATTCAGATGTCCCAAAGCGCTTCACAGGATATATTGTAAAGTGGAGTAACTTTGTATTTTGTGGGCGAAACATACAGAATAAGTCCCACATCCTCCACCACCCATCCTGATAACTAACATTATCAGCTGTTGATGACCCTCTGTACAAAGCAATACTTTTCAGGTGTAGCAAAGCTTAAAGGTGTCTCGAAGCCGTGATAAGGTGCAATATCAAATGCAAGGATTATTATTATTATTATTTCCTGGTATTCAATAGTTCCTCCTCCTGCTCCTAGTCCCAGCCTTTCTCGGTCTTGACTATTTCTGTTTCTATCTCCTGTTTTGAACCAATGTACCATTGCCACAACAACAACTTGAATTTATACAGTGGCCTTCACCAGTGTCTTGGAGGGCTTAACAGTAGCGGAACCTGTTGCCAAGTTAGGGGAGAGAGGAGGTGACCGTAGGCAAGGTCAAAGAGGAAAGTGTTCAGGCATGATCTGAATAGGGAGAAGAAGGGGGCAAGGAAGAAGGATTGAGGGAGAGAATGCCAAGGTTTTAGACTAAAAACATGAGGCAGAGGGGATGAGGAACAAACAGGAGGCCGGAGCCAGCCGAGCAGAAGCAGCAAATGGTGGAGTGGGGAAAAAGCAGGTCGGAGAGGTAGGGAAGTACTAGGTGGTGAAAGGACTTGTAGACAAGTGTGAGGTTCTTAAAGTCAATCCATTACAAGGAGCCAGAGGAGTTTGGTGAGGATGGTGTGATGCGGGTTTGGAGTTTAGAGCAGGTGAGTATATGGGTGGTGGAGTTTCAAATTAGTTGGATTTTGTGTGTAGAGGAGCTGGGGAGACCGGTGAGGAGGGTACTGAAATAATCAACCCAGGAGGTGACGAAAGGGTGGACGATGGTTTTGGCTGCATTGGGTGTGAGGTACAATCAGAGGTGGGCAATGTGATGGAGAAGGAGAAAAGCAGTCCTGGTTAGGGATTGGATGTGAGGGTAGGAAGGATAGCTGCGGATTGAACCTGATGTCTAGGTTACCTAGAGGTTTGGTAAGTCTTAGGGGTACACCGTTGAGGTGGTCAGAGCCACAGGAGAGAAGACGTTGACAGGAGCCCAGGAGAATGGCTTCCATTTTGTAGGAAAGGAGCTAGAGTTCTGAGGAGAGGGGTGGGGAAAGGAAAGGAAACAACTGTGACGCTGTCTCTTTAAAATGAGAATGTAACTGAGAGCGGAGAGCAAAACCATCTAAATCCCAGGTCGATGAAAATATCGACATCTTGGCCCTCACTGAAACCTGGATCACCCCGGGTGACACCCTTCCCCTCACTGAGGCCACACCACCCAGCTATACCTCCCACCATACCCCACATCCCAACCACTGTGGCAATGTTTTGGCTCTCATCTCCAGGACCTCACTAGCTCTATACCCCTTACTCCTCTGACTCATTCCCCTTTTTCAGCACCTTACACTCTACCATCCCTCCAAAACTTTCCCTCAAAATTCTCATTTACCACCTCCCAAAACCTTCCCCACCTTCATCTATAACATCTCCACCCTCTTAGCTTCCCTCTGAATGCCTGCTCATCCTCGGCGACTTCAACCTTCACTTCACCCCCTCCTGCTCTATCTCCTCGGACTTCTCTCTCCTCTCCTCTCCTCACACAACCTCACCCTTCACATCCACTCTGCCACCCACATTCACTGCCACCCACTTGACGTGGTAATTACCTTGTGTCTCGGATATCACAATCACAGACAAAAACATCTCCGATCACCATTTCATCTCTTTCAACTCCTCAATCCCTCTCTCCACCGTCACCAAACCCACCTCCATCTCCTACCGCCTCTGGAAAAAAATCTCCCCACAATCCCTCTCCACTGCCCTGGAATCATCTGAACTCCTCCCCCTCCTCCCGCACTGATTTATCCTCCTCGCTCACTCTCCTCCACAACTTCCTCTCCACTACTCTTGATGCCCTTGCTCCCCTCACCTCCCAAACCGCCTGCTACTGATGAACATTACCCTGGCATTGGAGAGGGAGCAAAGGAGATTGACCAGGATGGTACCAGGAATGAGGGACTTCAGTTATCAGGAGAGGTAGAGAAGTGAGAATTATTCTCCTTGGAGCAGAGAAGGGTAAGAGGAGACTTAATAGAAGTTTTCAAAATTATGAGGGAATTCAATAGGGTGAACAAGGAGAAGCTATTCCCACTGGCGGAGGGTCGGTAACCCGAGGACACCGATTTAAAATAGTTGTTAAAAGAAACAGAGGGGAGATGAGGAGAAATTTTTTTACACAGCGAGTTGTTGGTATCTGGAATGCCTTGCCTGAAAGGCTGGTGGAGCCGATTCGATAATATCTTTTAAGAGAGAAGTGGATAATTACTTGGGGAAGACAAGTTGCAGGGCTATGGGGAGAGAGCGGGGGAGTGGGGTTGATCAGGGCTATGGGGAGAGAGCGGGGGAGTGGGGTTGATTTGGAAGCTCTTTTCAAAGAGCAGCACAGACACTATGGGCCAAGTGGCCTGTTTCTGTGCTATATGATTCGATGATTCTATGATACCGCTCTGCCCTCGCCTCTGCCAAATCATCCTTCTTCTCCAAGATAATCTTGCCTACTGTCTGCCTCTCCTTGATTTCAATTAATTAATGGCTGTTGTAAAGTCTAGTAATAAACTGTTGAGCAGATCTCTTCTGTTTGAGTCATTTTTAGAAAGTTCTGCAGCCAAAACAATGGCCACTGTTCATTCCCCTGATTTGGTGTCGGCCTGGCTCGGTGGGTGATTTGGTGTCGGCCTGGCTCGGTGGGTGATTTGGTGTCGGCCTGGCTCGGTGGGTGATTTGGTGTCGGCCTGGCTCGGTGGGTGATTTGGTGTCGGCCTGGCTCGGTGGGTGATTTGGTGTCGGCCTGGCTCGGTGGGTGATTTGGTGTCGGCCTGGCTCGGTGGGTGATTTGGTGTCGGCCTGGCTCGGTGGGTGATTTGGTGTCAGCCTGGCTCGGTGGGTGGCACTCTTTCCTCTGGCCCAAATGCTGGAGGGTTCAAGGGCGAAGTGAACATTTTGACCACATGATCTACACTCATACTCCACCCCAGTACTGGGGCAACAATGAATTGTCAGAGGTGGTGACCTTTAAAAAAGCCATGAACCCAAGGTCATATTTGTTGTTTAAATGAATGTTAAAGATCCCACGGAAACACATTTTCATGTTTCTGTCTTTTCGCCTACTCTTTCCAAGCTTAGTGGTGTGCTGCACTTCACCTTAGTTTCTCAATTTATTTAGAGCCACATTTAAACTTAAGGCATCTTCATGATAATTTATCATAATACACCTTAGCTATGAAAATGTAGTTAGGAATTAATTTCCTTGGGGAATAGGTGAGGGGACAGTCTCAGGATTATTAATAAAATAATCAGGGGTGAGGTTAGGAATTTCTTCTGTAAATGGTGTGAAATTCATTCCCATAAATGTATCAATAGAATTATTCAAAAGGGAACTGGATGAACAGCTGAGCAGTAATCACATTTAGAGGTACCGGGAGAGAGCTGGAAAATGGATTCATAAATAGAGCAATTAAAAAAAGCATAGACAATGGTAGTATCACAGCCATGATGGGCCAGAGACCTCCCTCTGTTCTGGACATTACTACTTTACTATGTTAATCTGTATGTGTCTATGTTCATTTTGTTTCTATGTTAATTTATATAATAATAAGCCCTGAATTTGATATAGTGCCTTATCGCAACAACAACAACTTGAATTTTATAGTGCCCCTCACATAGGGTGTGAGTGTGCCAATCATGAGGTTGAGACGTATCAAAACGCTTCACAGATTACAACAACAACAAGATTACATTTGTATAGCGCCTTTCACATCGGGAGGACGTCCCAAGGCGCTGGACAGTGACAGCATTTCGGACCTGATTATATTGTAAAGTGAATTGACTGCGTATTTTGTGGGCAAAACGCGGCAGCACAGTTGTGTCCAACAAACGGTCATCGACTGATTTTTTTTTTGGAGCGATTATTATCCCAGGAAAGTGATCCGCCAATGAACTAACAACCGGGTTCCTACTTACTGCTAGGTAAACCGAGGCGTGTGGATTAATAAAACTTGTCTAAGGTTTGCACCACTTGGGAATCGAACCCAGGTCTCCTCGCTTGCAAGACAAGCCCTCTAACCACTACTCAACAGGACTTCATTGCTATGCTTTTAACCTATTCCTTGCTGTCTCTGAAAGAGATTTCATTGATTGTTGACTCATAAGAGCTTAATTGAGTTGATGCAGGACCAGATTCAGGCATGGTGAGACACTAAATAATGCCCAGAGACAGCACACAGACAACAACAACAACAAAATTTGTATAGCGCCGTTCACGTCGGGAGGACGTCCTAAGATGCATTTCTTAGATGCATAAAATGCAGTGACAGCATTTCAGACCTGAGCTGGAGTCAGGGAGGAGAAGGGAGGGAAGGGGGAATAACCGATGGCATGGTCGAAGAGGAGAGTTTTGAGGCGGGACTTGAAGGAAGCTAAGGAGGGGGCGAAGCGAAGTGATTGGGGATGGAATTCCAGAGGTTGGGGGCAGAGTGGCTGAAGGCTCTCCTGCCAATGGTGGGGCGGGTGGGTCGGCGGACGTGGAGCAGGCAGAGCCGGCTGAGCAGAGGGAGCGGATGGGTTGGTAGGTGGTTAGGAGGTCCCAGAGGTAGGGTGGGGCGAGGCCATGGAGGGCTTTGTAGGTGAGGACCAGGATCTTGAACTAGATCCTCTGAAGGATAGAGAGCCAGTGGAGTCAGGCGAGAGTGGGAGAGATGGGGTCACGGAGTTTGGTGCGGGAGAGGACACGGGCTGCAAGTTCTGGATTATCTGCAGCCTGTGGAGGGAGGAGTTGGGAAGGCCGACATGCAGGGCGTTTGCATAGTCGAGCCTGGAGGTGATGAAGGCATGAACAAGAATTTCAGAGGCCTGAGGGGTGAGGTAGTGGCGGAGTCGGGCGATGTTACAGAGGCAAGCTGGCACCTTGGATGGTAAAGGTCGGTCGTTGCATGGATTGAGACAGAAAGAAGCAAGACCAAACCGTCCTCATTGTCACAATGCAATGGGTGATGCTGGGCTACATGGTAACTCGTGTGACATCATAATCTTCCTAAAACAGAAATTCCTTCCAAGCTGCTGACGCAAAGTGCCCAGGTTTTCTATTTGCCTCAAAGACTAAATATCACAACATGTTATTTTACACCAAGAAACCAGCATAAATGTCAACAGAAATCCAGGACCACCGGCTTCACATCACAACATGTTCACATCTTGAGACTTTCAAGGAATCACTCCTTCATTATGCCTTGGAGAGAAATCTCACGTAGATCTTTAGATGCAGGATTATTGGACCAGGAATGGCTGTCCATCGCTCCTCCAGTGTTAAAGATGATCCCAGACCAAAAGGGCAACCAGAAACCAATTAGGGTGGAGCCATCCGAGCTCCTGACTGAGAATGAAATCAGGAAGATCTTGCTGGCTTGGGTGAAGCGAAGGATGTGCTTAAAAAACAAAGTAGCACGTAGATTGATCATTATGGACATCAAACCATCATTAATAGTACATTATTTCCTGGATACCTTTGTAGAGCACAGATCCATCCATTACTGCTATGATCCAAAACCACCCAAAGGGACATTGTTACCTCCTGGCAGCAGTTTGAAGGTTTGGAATGTGCCATGTTTCCCAAATGCTATGTTTACAGATGAAATCCAGTACTTTGTATTGCCCAACAGTGAGGAGAAAGGTTTATGTTCAGAATGCAATGGGACAGGGTCCTCTGTTTGTCAAAGGTGTGTGGGTAAAGGTAAAATTGACTGTCGAAATTGTTTTAGTTTTGGATTAGGAAACAAAGTCCAGTTGTGTTCTGAGTGCACAGGGAACAGGTTTGTGATGTGTAACACCTGCAATGGTGTGGGACTCGTGCCATGTACCAGGTGTTCAGCCAAAGGAAAGGTCTGGTACTTCATCCAACTGAAGGTGCAATACATTAATCATCAGATGGACAAACTCATCTCCAATGAACGCTTAGCCCTCAAAGTGGCATTGAAAGCCAAGGGAGAGATAGTGTACACTCACACTGCTGACATACTTGGGCCCATCAATACCTGCTCCATTGAGAACGTAAACATCACGTCAAATTTATTAGTGAACAGGTCCCAAGTGTCCTGGCCAGACACCCTGATCTTGCAGCAGAGACACACCCTTAAGGTCTTCTCAAGCAACGAAGTGTTCTTCACTTGGAAGAACTTTGAGGGACATTTCTGGATCTATGACAAGAACCACCGAGTTCATTTCAAGCAGTACCCTCAGAAGATGTTGCCATGTTTGTTGGCCATTGATAGTCAAAATGGAGGCAATGCCCAATAGACACTGTGGCTTTCAGCACATGGCATAAAAAATAGGACATAAAAGGATGATGATATACTTGGCCCTATCAACACCTTGTCTGTCCATTGAGAAGGTGATCATCACTTGAAATGTATTGGTGCACAGGTCCCATTTGTCCTGTCCAGACATCCTGATCTCAGAGGGAATTGGTCCCAGTTTCTTGGAGGGAATAAAGGATTAACATTAAATACACATATTAAAGATTTTCATTGTTCTTTGATGGGCAATGTGACTGTTGCCTTCATTATTTGGGGGGATTCCAGGCAGAAACCCAGGGATATCTGGCAGCGTTTTGGCATCACCTGGCCAGCTCAGCTCCATTGTAGAAATGCTTCATTGGAGTCCTGTGGTTAGAGCACTCACCTTGCAAGCGAAAGGATCCATTTTCAATTCACAGCAAAACTTAGGCAAGTTTCCTCACTCAACAACAACAAGATTCCATTTATAGAGCGCCTTTCACGTCGGGAGGACGTCCCAAGGAGCTGGACAGTTGGGTCAGGACACGAGAAATGGTCAGGGTGAGGGAAGGGAGGCAGCGAGGAGGGGGGAAATGGTCAGGGTGAGGGGAGGGAAGGAAGGGAGGGAGCGAGGAGGGGGGAAATGGTCAGGGTGTGGGGAGGGAAGGGAGGCAGCGAGGAGGGGGGAAAGGGTCAGGGTGAGGGGGGGAAGGGAGGTAGCGAGGAGGGGGGAAATGGTCAGGGTGAGGGGAGGGAAGGAAGGGAGGGAGCGAGGAGGGGGAAGAGAGTCGAGAGGGGAGCTGAAGGCTCGGTCAAAGAGAAAGGTCTTGAGACCGGCCTTGAAGGAGGAAAGGGAGGAGGCGGCGAAGGCACTGGGGGATAGAGTTCCAGAGCCTCGGGGCTGAGAGGCTGAAGGCCCGCCACCGATGGTAGGGCGGTTGGGGCGGGGGATGTGGAGCAGACCGGAGCCAGAGGAACGGAGGGTACGGGCAGGTAGGTAGGGGGATAGTAGGTCAGAGAGGGAGGAGGGAGCGAGGCCGTGAATGGCCTTGTAGGTGTGGATGAGGATCTTGAATTCGATCCTCTGGGGGATGGGGAGCCAGTGGAGGCGAGCGAGGGTGGGAGTGATGTGGGCGCGGTGTCTGGTGCGGGACAGTACACGAGCTGCAGAGTTCTGAATGACCTGCAGTGTGGAGGGAGGTGGCGGGAAGGCCGGCGAGGAGAGAGTTCCCATAGTCCAGCCTTGAGGTGATAAAGGCGTGGATCAGAGTTTCAGCCGCGTGAGGGGTGAGGTAGTGCCGTAGTCTGGCGATGTTTCGGAGGTGATGGAAGGCGGTGCCAGTTGTGGAGCAGATGTGGGGAAGAAAGGACAGCTCAGGGTCGAACAGAACCCCGAGGTTCCTGATGGCTTTGAGAGGTGGAGAGTGCAGCCTTGGATGCTGATGGTGTCAGCGCCTGAGGTGCGGAGGCGCTGACGTGAGCCAATCAGGAGGGCCTCGGTTTTACGCACTTGAGCTGAAGAAAGTTGTCTCTCGTCCAGGACTCGATGTCGGACAGACAGCTGTCAGGACATCGGGGGTCGTGGAGTTGAGGGTAGAAGAGGAAAGGTAGAGTTGGGTGTCATCCGCATACATGTGGAAGTTAACCCCATGTCTGCGGATGAGGTCACCACAGGGGGAGCATATAGAGGGTGAAGAGGAGGGGACCGAGGACAGAGCCCTGAGGGACACCGCACGAGACAGTGCGGGGGGTGGAGGAAAAGCTGTTTGTGGAAACAAAATGAAGACAGTGGGAGAGGTACGACCTAAACCACTCAAGGACAGGGCCTTGAAGGTTGAGGTGGGAGGACAAGCGGTGGAGGAGGATAACCTGGTCGACCGTATCAAATGCTGCCGATAGGTCGAGGAGGACGAGGAGGCAGAGGGAGCCCTGGTCACAGATGGTCAGGATATCATTGGTGACCTTGACGAGGGCGGTTTCTGTGCTATGGGCAGCACGGAAACCCGACTGAAGGGGTTCGAATAGTGAATGGTTGGAGAGGAAAGAGTGCAGCTGGGAGGCGACAATTATTTCAAGGACCTTGGACAGGAAGGGGAGGTTGGAGATGGGCCGGTAGCTTGATAGCTGCGACGCATCAAGGGAGTGATGGTGACAGTTTTGAGGGGAATGGGAACAGAGCCAGAGGAGAGGGACAGGTTGATGATGTCTGTGATATGTGGGGCAAGGAGGTGGAGCTGGGAGATAAGGAGTGGAGTGGGGATTGGGTCAAGGGAGCAGGTGGTGGGTCAGGAATAGGATGAGTTTGGTGACAGAGGGTGGGGAAACGGGTATGAAAGTGTGTAGGGGAGGATGGGTAGGAGTCGAGGGGTGGGGTGTGGGTGGATGTTGGAGGGGAAGTGACCGCGGAGCGAATTCCCTTGATTTTGGATTCAAGGAAATCCAGCATCTCCTCGCAGTGAAGGTTGGAGGAGATGACCTGCGTGGGGTGGCGGGGGGACGGAGGAGTCGGGATGTGGTAGAAAACAGAAGCCTGGGGTTTTTCTTCGCCTCCAGGATTATCCATCCTCCCCTACACATCTTCGAACCCATTTCCCCATATGCAAGGATTTTTATTATTATTATTCTGTAAGCAAGCATTTTAGGAACATAGCAATATAACCCAAAACAAAATTTTTGTCCATCTGGCCAATCACAAAGTTAATAAATTAATCAAATATAATAGTTAAATAATCCCACACAACTATATCTCACAATTCTCAATTAATTTCTTTGCCAAACAACTAATTCCTCTTGCTGTGGGGAAGCATTTTATACTGATTTCGAAGGGGGATGGGAATCAGAATGTAGCATCAGGGAGCGGAAACGAGTTACATAGTGGACGAGGAGAGACAAATAGAAATGAAACAAGGAATAGTCCAGCAAAAAGTGGAAAGAGACGGGGAGAAATGTAGAGCGGATTAAGCCGGTCTTGGAGTGCATGTGTGTAAATGCACGGAGCATGACCAATAAGCTTGGTGAGCTGCGGCTCGAGTTGCCACATGGGGTTATGATGTAGTGGTATTTACGGAGACTTGGCTCAAGCAAGGACAGGAATGGGAGCTGAATATTCCTGGCTACAACCTATTCAGGAGGGATAGGGAAGGGAAACAAGGAGGGATGGCAATACTCATTAGGGACACGGTCACTGTCAAGGATGATGTGTTAGAGGGTCCAAAAACTGAATCTATTTGGTTAGAGTTACGGAGCAGAAACGGAGCTGTTACTCTGTTAGGTATTTACTATAGACCTCCAAATAGTGGGAAGGAGATAGATGAGCAAATCTGCAGCAGATTTCAGAGTGATGCAAAACCAATAGAATAGCGATAATCGGGGACTTCAATTATCCTCACATAGACTGGGAAAATAACAGTGTAAAGGGCAAGGAAGGGAGGAATTCCTGAAATGTGTGCAGGAGAACTTTCTAAATCAGCATGTTTCCACCCGATGAGGAAGGACGCAGAGCTGGATCTGGTTAATGAAGTGGAGCAGGTTTCAGTAGGAGAGCATCTGGATAACAGTGATCACAATATCATTAGGTTTAGAATAGTTATGGAAAAGGACACCAATCAATCAAAGTTAAAGACCTTCAACTGGAAGCGGGCTAATTTCAGTGAGCTAAAAAGGGACCTGGCCAGGATAGATTGGAAAGAAAGATTGGCAGGTAAGACAGCAAACAAACAATGGGAAGCCTTCAAGGAGGAGATGGTTCGGGGACAGAGCAAATATATTCCCACAAAAGGGAAAGGAAGGACAGTCAAACCTGCCTGGATGACTAAGGAAATTGGAATTAAAATAAAACAGAAAAAGGAAGCTTATGACAAATGTCAGGTCCAAAACACACAGGATAATCAAATAGAATATAGGAAGTAGAGAGAAGTGAAAAGGGAAATAAGAGGGCGAAGAGATTGTACGAGAAAAGATTTGTGGGAAACATAAAAGGGAACCCTAAGGTATTTTATAAGCAGATCAAGAGAAAAGGTAAGTCAAAGGTGGGGTGGGTCCAATTAGGGACCCAAGTGGAAATCTTTTTTGTTGAGGCAGAGGACACGGCTGATGTACTAAATAAGCACTTTGCAACTGTCTTCACACAAAAAAAGACGATGCAACCAATGCCACAATATCGCAGGGATGTGAACAGAAATTGGATATGATAAGAATCAACAGAGAGGAGGTACTAAAAAGGCTGTCGGTGCTCAACATAGATAAGTCACCCGGTCCGGATGGAATGCATCCGAGGTTACTGAGGGAAGCAAGGGTGGAAATAGCGGAGGCTCTGGCCACAAGCTTTCAATCCTCCTTGGACACTGGAGTGGTGCCAAAGGACTGAAGGGCTGCAAACTTCTGGAGACTATAATCCGGGACAATATAAATTCTCACTTAGAAAAATATGGTTTAATAAAGGACAGTCAACACAGATTTTTAAAAGCAAATCATGTCTGACAAATGTCACAGAATTTTTTTGATGAAATGACTGAGAGGGTGGATGAAGGTAGTGCAGTAGATGTAGTTTATTTAGATTTTCAAAAGGCATTTGACAAAGTGCCACATAAGAGACTTATAAACAAAATAGAAGCCCACGGTATTAAAGGGACTGTGGCAACATGGATCCAGAACTGGCGAGGAGATAGAAAGCAGAGTGGTAGTAAACGGTTGCTTTTCTGATTGGAGGGAGGTGTGTAGTGGTGTCCCTCAGGGCTCGGTATTGGAGGTCAGAGAGGTCGGGTGCAGAGGAGTGGAGGGATTTGAAGACAAGAGTGAGGATCTTGAAGTCGATCCTCTCTGGGACAAGGCAGCCAGTGCAGTCTGGCCAGGACTGGGGTGATCGGGGAGCGGAGTTTGGTGCGGGTGAGAATGCGGGCGGCAGAGTTTTGTATGACCTGAATTTTATGGATGGTAGTGGAGGGGAGACCGGTGAGGAGGGCATTGGAATAGTCCAGCCGAGAGGTGACAAAGGCATGGACCAGGGTTTCAGCGGCTTTTGGA